AAATGCAATATAGTTTCAGTAAGTTTTTCAGCAAGCAGGTGTAGTTCGGTTGTTTTCTCATCAAAGGTAGGGAGAGAGAAAAAAAAGTCTGGAGACAGTTCTGGGGCTGTGGCTCACCCGCCCGCTGCTATCAGCCAGCTGTTACTGGAGGTGTTATTTATGCAGATCTTTAGGGTGAGCTTAGCACTCACCTGGCCCTGCAGGCTTTGTTTACTCAGAGTTCTCCTGTGCACGAGCCTCTGCTACAAGCTTTCCCCTTTCCAAGCACACTGGGAAAGGTGACACTGCACCCGCTTTCTCAGGCCTGCGTGTTTATTTACAGCTCATGTGGGAAGTGGGTCTTCCCCCCTCTCCTGTGCAGTTTTCCTCCCACCGCTGCTTTTACAAGCTTTTCCACTCCTGGTTGCTGGATGTGTGCCTTCCTCTCCTGCCTTCTCCAGCTGGCTTCTTGTGAGGGATTTCCCCTCCCCCCCCTTTGGTGCTCAGGGCACCCCACCCTCTTTGCTATGCGTCTTTTTTGTTGTTATTGCTTAATATTCAGTTTCTCTTTTTTCCCTGGGTGGGGGTCGGTCTGTCCAGGGGGCTATGCTGATCTGGCCCAGGGTTGTCTGTGGGAGTACTGCGTACCGCTTAGCTCACCTTGTGGTCCGTGTCTTCCCAAGCCATCTGAGCGCTGGCATCTGGCGGTGGCATGGGAGCCCTCCTGGTTTCTCCCTTTAACGTGAAGTGGAGATGCTCTGCGCAGGCCGGAGGTGTGGAGGGGTCAAAGTTTTGCCTCTTCTGGGTGGTTTTTCCTGTAAGGTGTATCTCCAGCATCTCTCCAAGATTTTACTTTAGGAAGCACGCTTTCTGCTTCCTCCCTCTAGCTGCCATCTTGGAATTTGTCCAGGAGAAACTTATTTACCTCTTTCTTTGTATTGCTCTCGCCCTCTCCCGGCCTTGCCAGCATCTCTCCTCGCTTCATCTTTTCTTGAACATATAAAAGAAATCACACCATGTGTATTTTTTGGGGATGGCTTCTTTCACTTTTACTGAAACACATATAAGGCTTATCCATGTTGTGGCATGAAGCAATAGTTTTTTCCTTGTGAATAAAGAATAGAATAAAGGGGTCACAATACTCACAGGTTTCTGCATAAACAAAGCTTCCATTTCTCTTGAGTAAACACATAGCAGTAGGATTGCTGGGTCATATGACAGTGGAGATTTAACCTTACAAGAAATTGTCAAGTGCTTTCCTGTTTTGAATTCCCACCAAGAATCACAAGTACTGGTTGCTCCACATTTTGGCCAAAACTTAGTATTGCCAGTGTCTGTTTTTGTTTTGCCAGTCTAGTGAATGTATAGTATATTTCATATTTTAATTTGCATTTCCTTCATCACTAATGATGCCAAGCATCTTTCATATGCTTGTTTTTTCTGGGGCAGGGTTTGAACTCAGAGACTCACACACACTTGCTAGGCAGTTACTCTACCACTTGAGCCACTCTGCCAGCCCTCACATGCTTGTTTGCCATTCATATATCTTCTTTGTTGTTCACTCAGATCTTTTGCCTATTTCAAATTGGGTTGTTTACTTTCTCATTGAGGAGTTTTTGAGAATTTTTGATATATTCTGGTTATAAGTCCTTTGCCATAAATATGATTTGAAAATATTTTCTCTCAGTCTGGGGATTGTCTTATTCTCTTTCACTGAGTAAAAATGTTAATTTTAATAAAGTCAAAATTTGTCAAAATTATTAAACATTATCACTTTTCATGTGGGATCATGTTTTTGGTATCGTATTAAAGACTCTTTGCTTAACCCAAGCTTGTGTAGATTTTTCTCCTGAAAGTTTTATAGTTTTATAGTTTTTATAGGGTAGCAAGTCAAAGAAAAGACATCAGTGAGGTTGGGGTGAACATTGATAAATCTCCAAGGAATACGTGAAAGAATGCATCAATCAGACCAATTTGGTACATTCTGGGAATATCTAGCCACAAATCCTAAGATCCTGAAGGAAACACCAAGCTCAGAGAAACCAAGTTTTTAGGTGTAGGGGAGGGAGGGCTTAGATATCTTAAGAATTGAAGATGTGTAATTTTTCAGCCTCCCTGTTGGAGAGGCTGTCTGAGTTCTCTAGACTTGTGTAGGTTCAAAATAGAAGCCACGAATTCCTTGTAGCTATTCAGAACTTGAAATATAGCTAGTCCAAATGAGTTGTGATGTATAAGTAAAACACACATTGGATATCAAAGACTGAGTCCTAAAAAAAAAAAGAAGGTACAACATTTCATTTAAAAATGTTGATTCCTGCTGGGTGCTGGTGGCTCACACCTATAATCCTAGCTACTCAGGAGGCAGGTTATCAGGAGGATTATGATTTAAAAGGCAGCCCAGGCAAATAGCTTGTGAGATCCTATCTCAAAAATACCCATCACAACAGAAGAGCTGGCAGAGTGGCTCAAGTGGTAGAGTGCCTGCCTAGCAAGTGTGAGAGCCTGGATTCAAACCCCAGTACTGCAAAAATAAAATAAAAATATTGATTCCATATTAAAATGCTAAATTTTTGTATCTTGGGGGTTAAATTAAATATTATTAAAATTAATTTCACTCGCTTTGTTTACTTATTTATATAAATTTACTCTAAATTTTTTTTTTTTGTGGTGCTGAGGATCAAACTCAGGCCCTTACACATGCTAGGCAAATGCTCTACAGCAAAGTACAACCCCGATCTCTCTATAAAATTTTAAATTATGTATGTGGTTTGTGTTATTTTCTTTTGGGCAGCATTGATCCAGGCTTTGGTCAGAAGCCTCTGAAATCCTGAAGAAAGCATTATGTCACCCCCTCCACACAAGTTGTATTTTTTTGGTGGCAGTGGGGTTTGAGCTCAGGGTCTCATGCTTGCTAGTTAGGTGCTCTCACTGCTTGAGTCACCCTTCTCGCCCTCAGTCAACAAGTTGCTAAAGGCAGTCACCCTGTTGAATTTTCATATATACCTGCTATCATAAACATTATTTGAGCCCTCAAATATTCCTGCACACAAGAAATTCCCTGTTAAAAACCATTTTAAACCCCTCAAAGTATTACAAAACCTCCCACTCATCCCATTGGATGGGTTCGGCATCCTGAAACCATGCTGATGAGGAAGGCGGTGCTCATGTTTGCCAGCACTGTTCTCACAGCTGGGATGAACTGAAGGGCTCATCCTTATCTGGGATTATTTCTGACATGAAGCTGGAAACAGTGCACATGATACTTACAATTTTCCTTTGACAGGGAAAACTTGAGGCTGCCTTCCCCAGGGTGATACCACATTGCAGTGTAGAGGACAGTAGCTTTATCTCAGCCAGGAATTGTGGAAGAAGACTCTAGATTCACAGTGGCCAGAAGTGGATTTTGCTCAAGTTACAAAAATGTAATAGTCAACATTGAGCCACACATGCTGAGGAAACTGAGGCCCCTAAAGAGTTAGGTAACTGAGAGGTTCAATAGGTAGGAAATGGCAGAGCCAGGATCTGAACTAAGAGGTCTAACTGCAGAACTTGAGATTCTCGTAATATGCTTCCACTTTCCAACATGGCTGACTATGTGTTATGAGACAAAAAGAAGGAAGCCTTGCTTCACTGGTCCTAGGAACAGCCTCTGAAAGAACATGGCATCAGGTGGTGTGTCATGCTGTGCCCCTTCATGTGCAGTGAGAGGCCCAGGTGAGGTGCCTTCAGCACTCATTCCCAAACTGTACCTCAAATTCTTATGAATGTCCAAGGGCCTCGTCCCAGACCTGTGAGCTCTAGGAGGGCCTAGAAATCTGTTAAAAAGTCAAGTGGAGAACCATTACTTCACAAATGATATTCATAGTCCTTGATTTTAAGATCTTGTTTGGAGCTTGGACTTCTGGGTACAAAATGGAAGGAAAGTACAAGGAGAGTTTACTTAGGTCACACAGTAGGAGCAGGCCTGACTTTGCGGCCACTTAGTTATTACCAACATTTGTGTGATGATTGCTAAGCGGTTTCCTGGCCTTCAGATTGCTAGAGCCTCTGATTCATCTCAGGCACAGGGATGAGCTCTGCTTTTCGAATCTTGCTGCCCCTGAAGCTAAAGGTAAATCGCTGAAGTCCACACTACTGACTCTCTTCTTCCTCCTCTTAGCCCTTCGGTGTTATGATGTACCCAGCTGGACCAGGATCTGGTGACTCCCCAGGGGGCTTCCCTGAACAACCAAGGCTTCAGGCACAAATTGGAAACTGCACTGCTCAGACGCTGGATACTCCAAGTGGGTGTATTGTATAGTCCGTCCTTCTTCATAGCATGGCTGGGGCAGAAGATTGAAGGTGGAATTTGGGGAAGAGAGATTCAAAGAGGTCTTTGGTTAGCACAGAATTAATGGAAGAACTTGCCTTCATTTAGTGATGCACCCTTTGTTCAGAACATTGGTACCTGTTTTTCCTTTCCTTTCCTTTTTCCTTTTCCTCTTTCCTTTCACATTCTTAGGGAAAAGAGAGGAGAGTCAATTTGGAACAGGCGGGAAAGGAGACAAAATCTTAGTGAAGCAAGGGAATACTCAATTTGTAATCTGAGCCTGGGAAGAGGCAGAAAGGGGGGAAATGAGGGCGAGCTCGCTCCCTTTCCCCTCTTGGCTGAAAAGAGCTAGTTACAGGAGTCAGGGTTAAGAGGCGCCTTAGAGAAAGCCCAGCCTTTCATATTACAGATGAGGAGGCTGAGGGGCAGAGAGGGCATATGGTGTTCCTAAGATAGACACCTAGTCAGAGGCAGGAGTGGCGATAAAATCTGGCCTCCGAGTGATACTAAGAGCCTCTACCGAGACACTTAATCTCCAACCCAGCGCCTGCAGGGCAGCGGAGAACCCACGGCCCGTTTCCATGGGAACCGTCTCCTTCCCGCCCCCAGCCTGAGCTTCCAATAAAGTTGTTGTTGTTGTTGAAGCCGGGAGGCGGGAACAGCGCGGCTCACGTGGGCCGGCGCGGGGGCGGGGCCTTGGCGGCGCGGGGGCGGGGCCGAGCTGAGGGAGACCCCGCGGCGGCGCTGACAAGGGTCTGCGGCGCGGGCTGCCGGCCATGATCGCGTCGTTCTTGTGTTACCTGCTGCTGCCGGTCGCGCGCCTCTTCCGCGCCATCTCAGGTACCGGCCTCGCGTCCTGACGAGCGGGAGCCCGGGCCTGCCTCTGCGGGGCTCCGCGGGGCCTGGGGGCGGCGGTGCGGAGCGCCAGGCCTCACGACCACGGTCCCCGCGCAGTGCTAAGGTGTGGGAGGCGGGCCTTATCTCCGGGCCCACGGGCCGTCGTGGCCCCACGAGGCTCGGGCTGGCCGGCGACTCTCGTGGGCCGCCCTTCCTCACGCTGTGGTGTGGTGACGTCGGGCCACGGTTAACGTGGCCGGGGGCTGGGGAAGGGGCGGCCCTCCTGGGCCGTGGAGGCGCAGAGGTGCTGGGGTTGGCCGGGTCACTCGCTGGGGGACGCGGGCGTTGGGAGCCCCCGCCCGGATGAGGGCCCGAGTTCTCGGCGGGTAGAGGCGGGGTGGGGGTCGGGGGCTGAAGTCTTTGACGCACCTGTCTTCCTTCCCCTGATAAATCCACACCCACTTTCCCAGGCACCGCCCAGCTTGCTGTCCCCTGGCCACCGTAGCTGAAGCGGATGAAAAAACGGATGCTCAGAAGCTAGAGTCACATTTCAGCCTCGGCTTTGGAGCATTCTCCCCGTGGTGGGGACGGGGATACTTTAGAGAGAGGAGGCAGTTACTCCTTTTTTTTTTTTTCCTTCTTTCATTCCCTGTTCCTGGTCTTTAAAATCCAGAGGCTTTCATGCGACCCTCAGTTCTTCTGACATCCTCAAAGAATTTCCAGACACTTTTCCTGCAGCTAAGGGTACAGGACTGAGGAGTGTCTTAGAAATAAGGGGTCCAACTGCATTCGGTGCATTTTTTTCTGGTACCTTACCCAATGTGTAGGTGATTGGTAATAGATGTTTCAGATAAAGTATTTAAAATTTGTTTTACAGTGTCTGCTACCAGACTGCAAGCTTCAGGAGAGCAGGGCCGTGTTCATTTTGTTGACTAGTGCTAACATACTTCCTGGAAGTAGTAGGTCCTCAACAAGTTCAGGAATGTCTTGTGTCCACCAGTTTCAGGAATGGAGATCTTACAGAAGTCTTTTTTTTTTTTTGAGGACTAAGCATGTATTTTTTTTTGGTGGCACTGAGGTTTGAACTCAGGACTTCACGCTTGCTAGGCAGGTGCTCTACCACTTGAGCTCCTCTATCAGCCCTGCCAGCCCTTTTTTTGTGTTTTGTGTTTTTTGAGATAGGGTCTCACAAACTGTTTGCCCAGGCTGGCTTCAAACCTGGATCCTCCTGATCTCTGCCTCCCAAGGATTACAGGGGTGAGCCACCTGTGCCCAGGAGCATATTTCTTTAACTATGTTGCTGTGGTGTGTAGAGCTCATCAGTGTCCACAGTGCCAGAGTGGAATGGCAGCTTTAGTGACATATACTAGTTCAGAGATTTCTGGTCAGTAAGGTTTTAGGGGTCTTAGAGGAGGCTACCTCTCCACCCACACATTAAAGTTCCATTTATTTAAACTGTGTGTTTGGTTTTTTTAATAATTTTTTTGTTTCTGTTGAATTTTTGCTAGTGGAGTGGTAGAGTGCTTCCCTAGCAAGTGCAAGGCCCTGAGTTCAAACTCCAGTACCACATACCCATACATACAGAATCTGAATTTGAGCCAGTAGCCTCATGCATATAAGCCAAAGAACTTCTGGCACCTGGCATGCATGCAGGATATTTCGGTGGGGGGAGCAGATAAGTAGCAAGTCCATAAGACTTAGGCTTAGAGTGGAATTTCTCAGCACCATCATTTTGGACCAGATCATTTGTTGTGAATCTGTCTTGTGCATTGTAGGATATTCAGCAGTACCCCTGTCCTATAGTCACTAGATGCTAGTAGCATTGACACAGTTGTGACAACCAGTGTCTCTGGATGTTACTAAATGTCCCCTATGGGCAAACTTGCCCCCGCCCCAACCCAGTAGTCCACTGGTTTAAAGGAACATCAATTCACATAGACCAAAACCAAGATACTCCAATATTTGGACCATTTTGAAGTTTTTCTTTCCTTTAAAAAGATTTAATCCCAGCACTCAGGAGAATGAGGCAGGAGGATAGAAGGCTCCAGGCCAGCATGGGCTACATAGTGAGACCCTGTCTCAAAAAACCAGAAAGAAAAAAAATTGTCAATAAAATGAATAGTGATTTTGGTCATCATTGTGCACATCACTTGTCCTTTGCCGTAACTAAGTGATTGTGAGTGTGTGTGTGTGTGTATGTGAGAGAGAGAGAGAGAGAGAGATAAACAGAGAGGTGTTTGCCTTCATCAAAGTACTGTGCTCAGGGTTTTGAAGCTCTAATTTCAGAGATTTTCCTGCCTTTTGGCTGTTGTTTGTGGCTGTCATAGCAGAGAGATGACAGCTGTGTCTTTAACTGTCAGTTGTTGGCACGTTCTAATTTACAGCCTCTGATTTTATTTTTTTTTGTGGAATGCAAAAGCAGATTATGAAATTTTGAGTAAACAGCTTTGAGAAGAAGCCCTAGGGTCTTTGCTAATAAGAACATTTTACAGAATTGAGACTGTCTGGGCTTTTTTCTTCTGGAATGCCTTTATAGCTTATGGGATCTGTAGAATTAGAAAACTTGGAGAATTAATTATCTGTCCAAACTTCTCTTGTCCCCATTTTATAGCATCTGACTAGGAGTTTTGTTAGTTATTTCAGTGTAAGACCATAATCTACAGTTCTGTTTCATGGTCATGTTTTTTAGAACCAGAGAGTTGATTTGAATAATGTTAGCCTCCAGATGTAAGGGGTATGGTTATGTGTGTCCGTCTATGTCCTAGATTATATGGGAGAGCCATCCTTTCATTCATGTACTAAACTTTTATCAGGTCCTTGTAAATTCACAAATATTTTTAAAGTACTTGTAACAGTATCTGGCAAATAGTAAGCACTTTGCTGTGGTGATGCTCTTCCAGGCATTAAGGTGGGCAGGCTCAGTGATGTTACAATGGTGAGCATTGTGGATATGATTCTTGCTCATATGGAGCTTGCATTCTAGCTGGGAGGATACATGTTGGCTTGCATTCTAGCTGGGAGGATACATGTTGGGTGATACTGCCTTCTTATAATGGTATTTTGGCTTTCTTCCTAGATGCTTTCTTTACATGTCGAAAAAATGCCCTTCTGGCGAAGAGCTCGTCCCCCCAGGTAGAGGGCAACTTTGCCATGGCCCCTCGGGGCCCTGACCAGGAGGAGTGTGAGGGCCTGCTGCAGCAGTGGCGAGAAGAAGGGTCAAGTCAGGTGCTCTCAACTTTGAGTGAGGGTCCCCTTGCTGATAAGAGACTGGCCCAAAGCAGCCTGGCATTCCTGATGGATAATCCTGGAGAACAGGATGCTGCTTCTGAGGATAAGTGGTCCAGCAGGCAACTGAGTGACCTGCGGGCAGCAGAGAACGTGGACCAGCATTTCCCCGAGGTGCTAGGAGAGGAGCCACTGCCAGAGGTTGAGGGTCCCTTGTGGGCAGCTGTCCCCATGCCAACAGGGCCCCAGTATGCAGACTGTGCTGTCCTTCCAATGGGCGCCCTGTCTGCAGAACAGTGGGAAGAGGACCCTGCAGTGGTAGCCTGGAGCATAGCACCAGAGCCTCTGCCCCAAGAAGAGACTCCCATCTGGCCCTTTGAAGGCTTGGAGCAGTTGCAGCCTCCCCCAATGGAAATACCCTACCATGGTGAGTCTTATGATCAGCAGAGTGAGCCAGGGGGGCAGATTGTCTAGGATAGGATCCTCTGGTGGGAAGCTCTGCTGCTGCATTCTGTTTTTCTGAGATTTGCAGTGTCAGATCTAGAGGGGCCTTAAAGATCATCTTATCTGGCCCTGTGGACTTACAGATGACATAACCACAGTGCAGAGAGGTAGTGCTACAGGTCTAGAGTCACATAGCTAGGTAGTAGGAGAACTGAGACCTGACCCTAGAGCTGACTCCGCACCCTGTCATTTCTCTAGTTGTGACTCAGGCTTTGTGGGAGTAGGGGTGGAGAGGTGTCAGAGCCTCCATTGTGCCTCAAGCAGAATAACTTCAGTTTTATTTGTGTTATATACTGGGAGTCCATTACAGTTTGAAGAAAGTTCTGTGGTTTAGATAGGTTTGAAATCCACTTAGCTATCCTGTGCTATAACCAGGTGTGGAGGTCAGAAAACTCCCAAGGCTGAAATTATTTTAGAAATTAATCTTGAACCCTAGGCGATGATTAAGCATACCTAGATGGGTGATTCTTCAGAGATTCACGGAATTTCCTAGTGAGAGGCTGGCAGACTTTTAAGTATTTTTGAGCATTTACTAGGTGCTAGGTACTGGGGATGAAGTGGTGAATAGGCCAAAATATTCTCTGGCTCTGTGGAGCTTTCTAGTCTGAAGGATGTCTTTAGAATGTTGTTCAGATTGAGGGAGGGGTGACAAGGTGATGGAGAAAGGAACTTTAGGCATAATATTCCTGAGTTGGGTAGCGGTTGTATGGCCTCTTAATAACCTGTACTTGTCATGGAACTCTTCCCCCTTTGCAGAAATCTTGTGGCGAGAATGGGAGGATTTCTCCACCCAGCCAGATGCTCAGGGCCTGGAGGCAGGGGATGGCCCTCAGTTTCAGTTCACTCTGATGTCGTATAACATCCTGGCCCAAGACTTGATGCAGCAGAGCTCAGAGCTGTATCTGCATTGCCATCCCGACATCCTCAATTGGAACTATCGCTTTGCAAACCTCATGCAGGAATTCCAGCACTGGGACCCTGATGTGAGTAAATGGGGGGATATGCCATCTTGCATTGGTTCTGGACCTGGGCTGTTTCCCAGTGCTTTTAGAGAATGAGTTCAACTTTCTCACCCAGATGATTTCAGACCAGCCTACTGTCGGAGCTTGTCTGTGTGGAGTTGGAGTTTTTGGCTGATGCTGAGACAAATCTCCCAAGGTGTGCATTTTCCAGCACCTTTATTCAGGGAGAGAGACTTGAGTGACTCATGGAGCAGGAAAATCTAGTACACCTGTTTGCCCTCCTCAGCTTGAGTCTGGGTCTATTTTTGCTGTTGGTGGCCTTGTGGGAAGTTTCAGTGCAACCCTATCTGAGATCCACAGTAACTTCCCACCTGGCCAGGTGCCTGCTCTTATAGAGTAGATGTCATGTTCCAGGCCTCTGGAGTGATTGGGTTTTTTTGTCAATTTCCCAGATCCTGTGTCTCCAGGAAGTCCAGGAAGACCATTACTGGGAGCAGCTGGAGCCCTCTCTTCGAATGATGGGTACTGCAGCTCCCTGGCTTGTTTGTCAGCCATTTTTCCTCTATCCCTGTCTACTTTCTCCCAAAGACCCTATCTTTCCTTGTGTGTTGGTAAACCCTGTCTCACTTGTGCACTGGCTCTTTCCATGAGTGAGAAAGATTGAGTTCTGCCATTTTTAAAGCAATTCTGACATATTACCATATGATTCTTGAAATAACCAACACTATGAAACTGTTATTATCCCCATTTTACAGATGAGGAAGCTGGGGTTCTGAGAATTTGTGTGACTTGCTTAAAATCACAAAACTACAAAGCTAGTAGGTTGTGGAGCCAGGACTACAAATTGTCTGGCTCTAGCTTCTTTGTTCTTTCTGCTGTGTTATATTGCTTCATGCCCTTCCCTCCCTCCTTCCCCCCTTCCAGCTCCCAGTCTTTTGGTTGCAACTATAAGAGAATCTCTGTAGAAGCAAGGATGTGGCAAGGACAAGGGCTCTTCTTAATGAGCAGCAAGAACAGTGCATTAGGCACCTAACCTTGTGCTGCTGCGTGGGTTGGAAGGGATTCAGGCTTTAAGGACTCTGACATATCTCCTTGTCTGGGTTTCCTTGCAGGCTTTACCTGTTTCTACAAGAGGAGGACAGGGTGTAAGACGGATGGCTGTGCTGTCTGCTATAAGCCCACCAGATTCCGTCTGCTCTGCGCTAGTCCTGTGGAGTACTTCCGGCCTGGCTTGGAGCTCCTTAATCGGGACAATGTGGGCTTAGTGTTGCTTCTGCAGCCACTAGTCCCAGAAGGCCTGGGACAAGTCTCAGTGGCTCCCCTGTGCGTGGCAAATACCCATGTCTTGTACAACCCACGTCGGGGTGATGTCAAGCTGGCCCAGATGGCCATTCTCCTGGCTGAAGTAGACAAGGTGGCTAGGTTGTCAGATGGCAGCCACTGTCCTATCATCTTGTGTGGGGACCTGAATTCTGTCCCTGATTCACCTCTCTACAACTTCATCAGGGATGGAGAGCTCCAGTACAATGGGATGCCAGCCTGGAAGGTGAAATGGGAGAAGCCAATGGGGGGTGGGAACACCATTTAGGGAGAGAGTTTGAATGTTGCCATCAGGGCTGCTTCTGTGGCAGGACCTCAGTTACACCTATTATGGCTCCCTCCTGCCTTTTCTTCTGTGTTGAATAGCTTGTGCCCAGGCCTGGAAGTTAGGAACTCATGAGTTCCTTTGGAATATTGAAGAAAAACTTTCTGTTTTTATCATGGTTTTTTTTTTGGCAGGTGTTCTACCTGCAGCCCTTTCTGCCTTACTTTTTTTTTGGTGGGACTAGAGTTGGAACTCAGGTCTTCACACTTGCAAAGCAGGCACTCTACCACTTGAGCCACACACTCTAGTCCATTTTGCTCTGGTTATTTTTGGAGATGGGGGCCTCATAAACTATTTGCCTGGGCTGGCCTGAACTTGGATCCTCCAGATCTCAGCCTCAAGTAGCTAGGATTACAGGCAAGTGAACCACCTGGCTTCAGTTACTTTTCAAATAAGATCTCACTGTTTATGCCCAGGCTGGTCTGGACTGTAGTCCTTCCATTTACACTTCCCACATCCAGCTTTTTATTGGTTGAGATGATGTCACTTGAGCCTTTTTCCTGGGCTGGCCTTCTAATCCTCCCAATTGCCACCTCCCAAGTAGCTAGGATTATAGGCATGAGCCAATGTGCCCAGCTTTGTGATTTTTAATTAAATGTGGCATGTGAGTATATTTTTTGCAAGAATTCAAACAAAATAAGGCATAAGCCCCCTTTATTACTTAAATTCTGTACCCTCTCCTCTTAGAGTTAAGTAGTAACAAGTCTGGTGCCATTCTTCTAGATTGTTTCTTATGCATTTATGGTGATATCTGTGTTCCTATGATATTGTTATCACAATTTACATTTATTAAACTCTTATCTGTGTTCCAAGTGTTATATTAAGCACTTTACATGTGTTAACTCAGTTTTCACTATTGCTTTCATTGCTTCTATTTTATGAATGAGGAAACTAAGGCACAGAGAAATTAAGTAATTTGCTCTAGGTTATGCAGGTAGTTAGTTGTAGAGCCTGCATTTGTAACCAGCACTCTTGCCTCTAGTACTATGCTGTGATTGCTGTAACTATCAATATGTAATCATGCTTTATAAACATGATATAGTATTTTGTGGCTTATTTTTTCTGCCAGTAGATGATTTGCATTTGGATCTGTCTCTGAATATTGGTAGCATAGATAGCTCATAGTTTTATCAACTTGTGCTGATTTCTCTGTATGTCACTTAATCTCTTCGTTCCTCTGTTTTGTCCCTACCAGTCCAACTTTTTGCTTAACTTTTGGCAAAGCACATTGGAGAAAGGACACAAAATGATTAAATTATTATTGAGCACTTTGTGCTTTTATTTTAATGAGGTTTATGCATTTGCCTCATCTGTACAGTGGGGATATAATGGGACTTACACTAGAGATTTTTTTTTGCAAGGGGATATGGATTAAATAAAACAATGCATGTAAAGTGTTTTATAGTACCCAGTTCAAAGGAAACAAGTGATTGGTAGTAGTTATTACTGTTAAGATTTTCAATTGTACATGGTATTAATATCCTATTTTACAGTAGAGGATATTAATTCAAGATAGTTAATTAACTTGTCCAAAGTCGCATCTGTTAAATGGCCATTCAATTTCAGGTCTGTTTTACTTCAAATGACATATTGAACACCATTGAAGGGCAGACGGGTTGTGTCTGACACTACTGTATCCCCAGCACTTGGCTATTGTATTACACGTAGTTGGCATTCAAATATTTGTTGTTGTTAAATGAAATAAAGGGAATTTGCTACCCATGTTGGAGATACGCAAATGACTGATGTTGCCGAATGTTTCCCTACTACGTTCTGTCCATTCCCAGGTTGCACATGGGCTTTGACCGAGGATGGTGACATAGATACGGTAAAGTGATTCGGTGCATTTCCCATTTGGTTTGATCCTGTGGTTTCCCAGTAATAGAGTCAGGATATTAGACCTTGATCCAGAAGATCCAAAGATCAAGATAAACCTCTTCCCATGGCAAATGAAAGCCCCTGAGAGCTGGTGGTCCCTGTGGGGCATTGTATTTTTCAGAGGTGGAACTTAGACAACACGCTCATAGTCCTGTTCTTAACTCACGTACATCACTGTGTCTCTTCTCCTGTCTCATGAACATTTTAGTGTTTCTAGTTAGAAAGTAATGTTTTAGCTAATTCCTTATTTTTAACTTTCCCCTGAGACTTATGTGGCTTGTTTATCCATGTATATGGTTTGTGATTGTGTGTTTGTATTCGTCCATATGTCCTCAAACATGGACTGTCATTTCCTTTTTCTACCTTGGTTTCCTTATTCCCACTTTACTGTTGTCTTGTAGGTATCTGGACAGGAAGACTTCTCCCATCAACTTTACCAGAGAAAGCTGCAGGCCCCGCTGTGGCCCAGCTCTCTGGGCATCACTGATTGCTGTCGGTATGTTACCTCCTGTCACCCCAAGACAAGAGGTAAGCACTTGTCACATTCTTGGTTGATTGTGTTTTCATGTACATTTACTTATTTTATTTTTATTTGCTTATTTTTTGGGAGCAGTACTGGGGTTTGAACTCAGGGCTTATGAGGCACTCCACCGCTATAGCCTCAATCTCAGCCCTTCATGTATATTGTGGGAGAAAATTTGTTCTTCGCTAACAAGAGAAAGTGTAATTTCAGTTCTCTTAGCAAGTTCGTTCGTTTTCCTCACTGACCCTTATATGACCACTCAGTGAAATGGACAATTTTAAGTCATAGCTATTTGAAAAATCTTGTCTTCAGAGCCAGACTGAAGCAACCAACACAGTTGCTATGCAGGAAGCTTCTTGATACTAAGGAGGTCTCAGTATGTGCTTCTTTTCCTTTCTTTCGTTGTATGTTTTCTTGATTTATAGAGAGACTTAAATATGGCCGAGAATTCCTGTTACGTTTCCGCTTCTGTGACATTGCTTGTCAGCGACCAGTAGGACTGGTTCTCATGGAAGGAGTGACAGACACTAAGCCAGGTAACAGAAACTAAGCCTGTGTTCTTGGTCCTCTTCCTTCCTCACCCCTAACATTTGCCAGTTGTTTGGTTTTCTACTCTTTTCTAAATATAATTCTTAGACTTCAGCTTCTGGTGATAAATTTATAAGAAAGAGGGTGAGTTGAGTTCGGTGGCCATCTGCATGCATGGATGTGTCTAGTACCATAAGAGCACTGAACCAGGAAATGAGAGACCTGTGTTCTCACTAGCTCTGAGACCTTGAGCAAACCACTTAACCTTTCTAGGTTTAAGTGCTAATAATTAACATGTATATAGCATTTCTAGGGGAAAAGATACACATGATAGAGCTTCAAAAATTGTAAGGTGACCGTGGATCTGGTTGCAATAAAAAGTTGCTCCTATGGAGAGCTTCCAGATTGAATGTAGCAGTATATTCTTGACTTCTCCCCTTCTTATCACTGAAACCACTTCAAAGCAACAAGGAAGGTGGGAAAAAAAAGAAATGCAAACTCCATCTTTGACAAAACTCGGAGATCTGAAAGTATCTGAAACTGAACCACAGCATATGGAATGGCTGCAAGAAGTACTGGATGTGCCAGGGGTGCTGGAGGAAGTATGGAGAGACCTGTGTAGCTATGGGGATCTCAGACAGAACCAGCAGATACATTGCCCTAAGGTGAGGAGTATATCTTGAGGCACAAAACCAAAATCCCTTGTTTTTTTGACAAGGATAGAATGTACAGGTTGTGATAGGAAAGTCTCTAGACTCTTGATCCTAAGAGGCAGTGGAGGAAAGACTGGTCAAAGAGTCAAGCCATATTTGCACTAAGCAGTCTATTCAAGTAGTAGAGGGGTAATGAGATACTTACAGAGCTGTGTATTTCTTTGGCTAGAAGTAAAGATTAAAAATCTCATCCTGTGTCTTAAGGAAAATTCCTGTTACTTGGAATGCATGCCCAGTCCTTCCTTGATATAAACTTGATACACATAGTTAGCACAGAAACATCTCAGCTAATCCAAAGCCGGGCTTGCCCTAAAGGAATGGTATGGAATCTTTACTAAAATACTGTAAGAAAAAAAGGAAAAAGTATGGAAAAACAAAAGGCAGATAAAGAATTCTTTTCTTTTAAAAAAAAAAAAAGGGAAGAAACAAGAAAATACTTCAGAGATAAATATTGTTGCCAATGGAGCATAAGGGAAATTATTTCCTCATAAATAAAAAAAGCAAGTTATTACCTTTATAAAAGAAGAGTGCCAAAGTAAAATAAATGCCTTTATAAAGTCAGTTCAGGCACACGAAGACATCAGAAGATAAGACATAAGCTGTGGAGCTCAGAAAAGAAGTAGAGGGTTTGGGATATAGCTCAGTGGTAGAGTGCTTATCTGGCATGTGCAAGGCCCTGGGTTCCATCCTCAGCACCATAGGAAAAGAGAGAAAAAAAAGAAATGGAGTAAAAAATAAAAACATTAATTAGAATGAAGACAAAATTGAAGGATGCACAAGAGTGATAGATACATTCTTGAAAACAAGTCAAGAGACAAAGATCAAGACATCAAAACAAAATGAAAAGAAAGTAAAAGCATAGAAAGGATTAGAGAGAAAATGACAGTAGTGAAAGATAAAGGTGATTCAACATACACAAAGTTGGAGTTCACAAAGAAGAAAACCACTATAACAACTCAAGAGAAATACTTAAAAGATGTTATTCAAGGAAGATTTTCCCAAAGTGAAAAGATCTGAATCTGCAGATTGAGAGGACACATCATGTCTCAGTAAAAATGATGTTAGAGAACCAACATTTAAGGCATTCTAGTGACATTACTAGATACCCCAAACAAAAGAATCCTTTGTGCTACTCATAAGCACAGTGGTAATCAGGTGGGCTTCAGACCTGTTAACCTTGACATTAAGCTGTAGAAGACTGGATAATGGCTTCAAGGGGAAAAAAAGCATACCTCAAGATTTTATGCCCAACTGATAACCTTAAAGAAACTCCTAGAGGAACAAATTAAGGCAACCAAACATTGGGTGTGAAAACTACAGTAAGAGGATTGGTGGTGAGTGATGAATTTTTTTTCATGTTGAAATTTATTTTGAATTTGCATTTTGCACAGCAGCAAACATTTCAATGGCTTTTTAATTGCAAAGCTTGAATATTACTATGATTGTAGCAAGAGCAATAATAATAATGATTGTAACCATGGATTAAACTGCTAGTATGAGCCAGGAACTGAGATTAGTGCTCAGCCAGGGCAGCAGTGGGTCAGTCTTTTAAGATTACAGAATCCTAAAGCTAAACAGTAACAGAATCTCACATAGGTAATTTTATAGAGGTTTTTTTTTTTTTTTAAACACTGCTATATTTGAATGAAACATAAAATAGCATTGAAATTTAGTAGCAGTTAAACCAAGGACCTTTAAGCTACAAACTGACCACCACTTTATAAGTAAAAAAGAATTGTTCTCTGGTGGTGGTGGGGAAATGATTAAATAAAAGTGTAAAATAACAGTAGTGTTTTCATAACTGAGAATGAATTTGGGCAAATACATGCATTTACCATATAACTTTGAACGTGCCCTTCCATTCGTTCAGTACCCCTACCTAGGGTTGAACAGACCGCTGAGGAATCTTTTAAATACTCCAAATCTGAAAAGCTGTCACAATTTTTAGGTCATGAGTGGAAAGATTTAAGTGTAGTTAAGTGCAATGCAAGGAGATCAGGATGTGTGAGTTTTTTTTACCCCTGGGGAATTTATTTAGATATGCTGACAAATACTATTTCCAGTTCAATACCAGAGTTTCAGTAAAAAAACCAGCATGGTACTGGATTAAAAACAGATGCATAGACCAATGTAATAGAATAGATGACTGAGAAATAAACCTGTGCAGCTATCACCATCTGATTCTTGACAAAGGTGCCAAAAATGTACTTTAGAGACAAGACAGCCTTCTTAATGGTGTTGAAAAGCTGGACATCTGCATGTAGGAGACTGAACTAGACCTCTCACCCATTCAGATCAGCTCAAAATGGATCAGACCTTCATGCAATCCTTGAAACTCAAACTTTGAAACTGCTAGAGGAAAACACTTGAAGATATAGGTATAGGTAGTGACTTTCTGAATAGAATCCCAGTAGCCCAGCATATAGTAGCAAGAATTGACAAATATGATTGAATCGAATAAAAAAGCTTCTGCACAGCAAAGGAAACGATTAACAGTTAAGAAACAGTCTTCAAGTGGGAAAAATCATTGCCAGTTATTCATCTGATGGAATTAATATCCAGAATATGTAAAGAACTCAAAAAAACACCAAAAGATAAACAAGCCAGTCAACAAATAGGCAAATGCACTGAACAGACACTTTCCAAGTGAGAAAATACAGATAAATAAATACATGAAAAATATTGAACAACTTCAGTCATCAGGGAAATACGGATCAAAATTACATTGAGATTCTATCTCACACCAGTCAAAATGACTGTCATCAAGAAAATGATAAGGCTAGGGGTGGTGGTGCATACCTATAATCCCAGCACTTGAACTGAGTTCAAGGCCAGCCTGGTCAATATAGCAAGATTTTTTGATCAAAAAATCAAAAAAAAAAAAAAAAAAAAACCAAAAAAAACAAAAAACAACAAATGCTGGTGAGGATGCAGGGATAAAGGAACCCTATATACTGTTGGTGGGAATATGATTAGTCTAGGCACTGTGAAAATCAGTATGGAGGTTCCTCAAAAAATTAAAAATGGAACCTACTATATGATCCAGCTGTGCCACTCCCAGCTAAATACCCAAAGGAATCAAAGTCAGCATACAAGAGAGATACCTGCATACCCATGTTTATCATGGTATTAATCACAATAGCTAAATTATGGAATCAGCCTAGGTGACCATCAATAGATGAATGGACAAAGAAAATATGGTATGTAGATATGTAATGGAATAATAGCCATGAAAAATGAAATTATAGGAAAATGGATGAAACTATAGGGCATCATGTTAAGTAAAATAAGCCAGACTCAGAAAGACAAGTGTCACTTGAATCTACGAAGAAAAAAAACAAAAGACATGAAAGTAGAAAGGGACTACTAGGGAAGAAGAAGGTGATTAAGAGGAGGGGGAAGAGCAGTAAGAGAGGGGAATGGAAGTTGAAAATAAACAGTTAATGTGCACATATGAAAGTGTTAAAATGAAACCCAATATTTTGTATAATTAATATATACTAAAAAAAAAAGAATTAAGTCAGTGGGTACTACTTGAAAATAATTCCATTGTTGCCAGCCTAACTGTGCCTGTCAAAACATGCCAACTTGATGGTGACACTACTTTAATGGGGATCCTCTGTGTGCAAAGGGAGATGCAGTGCCAGCTAGTAGCAGTCTGATTTCCCCCCAAGCTGACATTGCGTTGTGCAGGAGCTTTCTACATTACCCAGATATCATAATACAAAACCTTGAGAATCTCACTCTTCCTACTGTTCAGTCTCTTTGTGACCGAATAATTCTTAGGTGGGGTATTTAAATTGAGTCCTTCTCTCAATATTCCTAACTATTAGTGATTCTTTCTTTTTTCCAGTATGGTTCTTAAAGACCATGTTTTAGTCCATGTAGGCTACTGTAACAAAATACTGTAAACTGGGTAACTTTCAAACAACAGAAATGTACTTTTTGCAGTTACGGAGGCCAGAAGTCCAAGATGAAGGCAGTGCAGGTGTGTCTGGTGAGGACCCACTTCCTGGTTCATAGATGGCATCTTCTCACTGTGTCCTCACATGGTGGGTGGGATTAGGATTTCAACATACAAATTTGTGGGGCACACAAACATTCACACTGTAGCAGACACTGAAAGGGGTCACTTTCTCTTGAGCACTTGCAGGTTTACATTGCATCTTAGGGCTTCAGATCTTTTAATAAGTAAGAGCAAACCATGTGCCCGATTTGCTGCAGTATAGCAAAAACATTTGTTAGTGAGTGACTTTTAAACTGATCAGAAGGTCACATAAAAAAGGCTAACTGGTCAGCTTTCCAAGCAGGAAAGTTCAGCCCATGTTTGCTGTAACTTTAGATCCTCTTCCCAAGAACTTGCTGAATGGGCCATGGGAAAAGGTTGCAGCTTGTGTAGAGATAGCTGTACCTTGTGAGCTGGAGGGGCAGGTGGAGAGGCCTGTGTAACTGCCAGAACAATGCTGTTTGTACATAGTACAAACATGCATGGGCCAAACCTGGTGTTGAAGGAAGCTGTCTTTAAGATTCTGCTGGGGAAAATTAAAAGGGGGACTGAGGACGTAATTCAGTGGTACAGTGCTTGCCTAGCATGTGTAAGGTCCTGGGTTTGATCCTAAGCAGTGCAATAGTGAAAGAAAAAAAAAAAATACTGGTTACTGTGATTTTCTTATATACTGTAATGATAAAGGATGTAACTCAAAATGAATATATCAGTGTTATGATTGTTGATGCTCCGTTTCACATCAGAAATCATAAAGTGAATCTGTGGGCTATAATAAGGAGTAATAGGCAGAAAAGTGATGGTAGAAGGTTTTAATTCATTTTTCAGTCTACAGTGGGTTAGTAGATAAAAGAGTAGCTAAGAATATAGAAAACCTGAGTAACATGTTGTATGGTAAACTTGATTGATACATATAAAACTCTGAATACCGAAAGCAGAGGGACAGAGATATTGTTTTAAAAAGTAGTATTGGGAAATTCTTTAGAATTGACCATATATTAGATAACAAAGCATATGTAGTAAAGATAGAAATTAAAATTAAAAACACACAAGAAAACACTATCATCTGGATACTTAAACTTTTAGGTTAAAGAGGAAATTTAAAATGAAACTATAGATTATCTGGAAAATAATAATGAAAATACTATGCTTATTGGGATATAGCTAAAACTGTTCAGTAAAAAAAATTCATAGAATTGCCTAGAATAACTCTTAGAAATTCAACATCTATTCTAGTTTTTTTTTTTTTTTAAAGGAACCCTATTAAATTAAGGAAACAATGGGTAATTCCTTACACTGTTGATATATATATGTGAGCTCCAAAAATCAACATCTTAGGGCTGGGGATATACCTCAATGGTAGAGTGCTTGCTCAGCATGCAGTAGGTTCAATCTCCAGTACTGAGAGAAAGAAAAAAAAAAAAACAATAAACACAGTGTAGTCCCCTAAATAAGCATCTTGCTTAAAGAAACTAGTAGCATTCTTTTTAAAGTTAGGAAGAAGACAAGGACACCTGTTATTGTTGCTTAATTGTTTGAGATACCAGCCAATAGAATTAGAAATAGAAAATAGAAATATAAGAAAATAGAAGTATAACTAAGACCCTGGGTTCCATCCCCAGCACCTCAAAAAAACAAACAAACAAACAAAAAAACAGTTTAAAAGTAGAAAGGACAACATAAATTATTACTTGATAATGTTACACAGCTGATGATCCAAGAGAACCAACTAAAAACAGCATTAAGATAATTCTGGAAAGCAGCTGGGTACAAAATTAGCATGTAGAAATCAGTAGTATTCATAAATAAAAACTCTGGGCCAGGCATTTTGCTTCACACCTGTAATTCCTGCATCTAGGAAACAGGCAGGAAGATTGAGAGTTTAGACTAGCCTGGCTACATACTCAGACCCTGTCTCAAAAAAAAAAAAATCCGATTTGTCAAAAGATAAAATGAAAACAAGTCCCTATTTATAATAGCAACAAAAAAGAAAATAGAAATAAATTTAATAGGAAAAGTAAGGTATATAAAGGAGCATTTCCTTTCATCTAAATTATTACATTTATTGGCATGAAGTTGCTCATTACATTCCCTTTCACTTTTTATTTATGATGAAATTTACATATTATAAAAATCCACCCTTTTTTTGGAAGGGGGGTGATAGTAGTGTTTGAACTCAGGGCCTCACACTTGCCAGGCAGGCACTCTACAACTTGAGCCAGGCCTCCAGCTCTTTTTGCTTTCATTGTTTTTTGAATAGGGCCTCATGTTTATGCTCAAGCAGACCTGGACCTTGATCCTCCTATTAAAGCTAACTGCATAGCTGTGATGACAGGTGCATTCCATCAGGTCTAGTTTTTATTGGTTGAGATGGTTTTTATTTGGGCTTACTGACTTTTTGCCCCAGCTGGCCTTGAACAACTATCCTCCCAATCATCACCTCCCAAGTAGCTAGGATAACAGGTGTGAGCCATTGAACCTGGCTAAAATACATGCATTCAAAGTGTGTAGTTCAGTGGCTCTTCACATATTCACAGCTGTGCAGCCATCGCCACAATCTAATTTTAGAACATTTTCATCACTACCAATGAATCCCCACATCCATTAGTCATCAATTTCCAATTATCCTCCCCATGTCAAAAATCAAATGACCATAGATGTATGAATTTCTAGAGTCTTTTTTTTCTTTCCTGGTCAGTACTGTGGTTTGAACTTAGGGCTGGGCACTTGCTAGGCAGGCACTGTAGCATTTAACCACATCTGGGCTCTCAGTTGTATTGCATTCATGTTTATGTCTTCCTTATGTCATGCCACACTGTCTTGATTACTATAGTTTTTGTATACCTTGGAAATGGGGAAGGGTAACTATCTTTGGCCCCTTACATTTCCATATGAATTTTAGGATTAGCTTATGAATATCTGTAAAACCGGTTTGTATTTCATAGGGGTCTACAAAATCTGTATATAAATTTGGAAAGTATTGCCATTTCAACAAAGTCTTATGACCAGTTAACACAGGATATCTTTCCATTTATTTAGACCTCCTTTAATTTCTTTCCATATTTTATGGTTCTTAGTGTGCAAGTCTTAGACCACTTTTGTTAAATTTATTTTATTTTACTCTTTTTGATGCTATTGTAAATGGAATTATTTTCTTAATTTCATTTTTGGATTCTTTTATTGTTAAGTGTATAGAAATATGCGATTTTATATGTTGATACTGTGTCCTACAATCATGCAGTACTAACTTACTCTAATAATTTTTAGTAGATGTCTTAGGATTTTCTTTGTATAAGATCATGTCATTTGCAGGTAGAAGTACTATTACTTGTATTTCAGTATGGATGCCTTTTATTTCTTCTTCCATAATTATCTACTAGAACTTTTGGCACAGTGTTGACTATAAGTGGTAAGAACAGACATCCCAATCTTAGGAGTAGAGCTTTGTCCTTCACCATTATGTATGATGATAGCTGTGAGTTTTTCAGAGTCCCATCATCATGAGTTTGGGGATTCTCTTCTGTTGGGTGTTTTTTAATCACCAGAATGTGATGCTTTTTTTGTCAAATGTCTTTCCTGTGTCTATTGAGATAGTTATGATTTTGTCCTTAAATATTCTATTAATATGATGTATTACATTAATTGCCCTTACATTCCTGGGATAACTCTTATGGGATCACAGTATATAAGCATTTTTATATTTTGCCAGGTTTGGTTTGCTAGTATTTTACTGTGGTTTTTTTTAATCTATATTCAAAAGGGATATTGGTGTTGTAGTGTCTTTGTGATGTGTTTATGTAGTTTTGGTATGAATGAGTTGGAAAGTATCTGCTTTTATGTTATGAAACTGCTTGTAAAGGATATGCATGATCTCTTTAAATATTTGATGGAATTTACCAGTGAAGCTACTCAATCCTGGACTTTTCTTTGTGCGGAAATTTTAAATTACTAACTCAGTTTTTTTTTTTTTTTTGGGACTAGGGTTGGAGCTCAGGGCTTTGAGCTTGCAAAGCAGGTGATCTATTGCTTGAGCCACAGTTCATTTTGCCCTGGTTATTTTGGATATGGGGGTCTCACAAACAATTTTCCCGGGATAGCCTTGAACCTTGATCCTCTCAGTCTTAGACTCCTAAGTAGCTAGGATTACAAATGTGAGCCACCGGCACCTGGCTCTCATTCAGTCTATTTACTTGCTATAGGCTTAATCAGATTTTCTGTTTATTAATCAGATTTTCTGTTTGTTCTTAAGTCACTTGAGTGGCAAGTGTCTTTTAGGAATTTGTCCATTTTATCTATTATCTAATTTTTTTGTATACAGTTTTATAGTATTTGTTTATAGATTGTTTTTCTTTGTACAGTTAGTATTAATGGCCCCTTATTCATTCCTGATTTTAGTAATTTGACTGTTCTTTTTTTCTTGGTCAGTCTAGCCAAGGGTTTGTCAGTGTTGATCCTTGTTACCCTATTAACGTCAATAGGTTCTATAGTAACATCCCTTCTTTTTTCCTAATGTTAGTAATTTGTATCTTTTTTCTTTATTTTGTGTATATAATGTACATATTTATGTGTAAGTATGTATGTAGATCTATGGATAAAACAGATGGTATGTGACAGAAAACCTCTATAGGAATGTTTGGAAATATTGGTTACCTCTGGAGAGGAGAATTGAGTGGCAAGTGGTGAGCTGAGGGATATTTTTTTCCTACTGTATGGCCTATTCTTTTTCTTCTCTTTTTTTTTTTTGTGTCAGTTTTTTGAGACAGGATCTCACTTGTAGCCCATGCTGCCCTGGAACTTGCTATGTAGCCCAGGTTGGCTTTAAACTCAGGAGCCTCCTGCCTCAGCCTCTTGAGTGCTGGGATTATAGTGTGCACCTCCACACCTGGCTTTGTGTGACCTGATCTTTAAAAATAATTGATAAATAAATTGAAAAATGTGCTGAGCCAAGGAAGACAAAGTCTGTGTTAGAGGTCTGAGGTTCTTGACTTTGGTTCATTGTTTCCCTTCCTCTTCTCACCTTTTCTTTCCTTTCTCCCTTCTAGATCTTTCTGGAGCAGTCTAGTCAGGGATCTGAGAAGGATTTCAGGGTGAAAGGTTCTGACCCTGCTTTACTGTGGGTGGATGATAAAAGCTTTTTTCTCTCTGGTCTTCTACAGAGCGACCTGCTGGTTGGGCCGAATCTGTCCTTGAGGAAGACACATCTGAGCTTGAGCCTGTCTTCCCCAGGTAAATGTCTCTCCAGTTCTTTGCAGCATTCAGTCCAGCCCCAGCCCCTACCTATGTATAAGAGATTCCTATTAGTTATCCTCAGGCTAATTTGGAGGAGCACTTTTGCTAAGCTCATTCTCTCTGCCCTTAATAAGCTTACATAGGAGAAAACATATGCAGAAGCTGGAGGTGACCCACCCATATTCTTGCAAATGGAAAGCCCATGTACTCCTTCCTGGAGTGGGTAGGGAGTATAAAAACTCTCAGTGAGCTTGCTGGCCTATGGACAGGAGTACTTTTGGTATATTTTACCAGGTGAATGGAGAATGGGGATGAGGAATGTCTGGATCTTCACATCAGTGTGTCTGTTTCTAGGCTAATTTTAGCTAAGACTGCTAGCCTCTTATTAACAGTCTTCATATTAAGAATTTGCTGAGATTGAGTTATTTGGATCATCTCTTTAAAAAATATTCATAAAACACACAAAGATAGTGACTTGGAGAAAATGTAATAATTTTTGTTGGCTGACATCTGCCCCTCCATCCCTGTAGAACTGTAGGTACCATCCAGCACTGCCTCCACCTGACCTCAGTATATACCCACTTCCTGCCCCAGCATGGCTGTCCAGAGGTCACCACGATGCCCCTAGGTCTTGGGACAACAGTGGATTACATCTTTTTCTCAGCTGAGTCCTGTGAGAATGATAACAGAACTGGTAAGCCTGGTAGATCCAGGTTCTTAGAAGCTCCCTCTGGGGTCCTCAGGAACAGCTGATGGTAGGTCTGGCCTTTGATGGCCTGACTTGGGCTGCTGGGATCTGACCAGGAAAGGAGTAGATGTCATACCAGCCTGATGTGTTGTCCTCGTTCTCGTGAGCCACCTGCTTGCCTTCTTCCTTTGTCCTTGCAGTGTTAGAGAGAGGTGGGTGGGATAGTCACTCTCCATCCCTATTTTAGAAGTAAAAATAGAGCACCAGGAGGCAACTAGACTTGTTCAGGGGTAGCACTTAGTGAGGGACTTAGTGAGGTCAAACCCTATTTCCTCTCTTCTCACCCATATCAGTAGTCCCATGAGTGGTTTACCATACATACCTATTTTGTATGAAGTATGTTTTTTAGAATGTTTGAATTGATTGCTGATGTTTAAAAATCAGATTTCATGTACTAAGTCTATATTTCTGCTTCCTTTGGGAACTCAGAAGATCTTATAATGCTGGGCCTGGGTCTGTATCCTATTTGCCACAGGCCCCCTGCACCCACCTGTCTTCATTCACTGATGATGTCATGGGGTTCTCTAAGGAAATGAAGCCTCCTAGCCAGAAACTCAGGGGGAAGTGAGGGAATAGTCAAGGGGATGTCATCTACTTAAGGTATGGGTCCCGAGGGCCTTTCCCTGCTTGCCAGGCAGCATGATGGGTGTTACTTTACTCACTGGCTGCTTCTTTGCACCCTAGGTGACAGGCTGGATCGTGATGGAACTCTCAAGCTTCTGGGCCGCCTCTCCCTCCTCTCTGAAGAGATTCTCTGGGCTGCCAATGGCTTGCCCAACCCCTTCTGCTCTTCAGACCATCTCTGCCTGCTAGCCAGCTTCGGCATGGATGTCACCGCCCCATGAAGGCCCCCAGGGAAGAGAGCGTCTCTTCAGGAAGAGCTCACTGGATCAGTGACTATGCAAATGCTCCAAGCTGTAGATCTTCTGTCCCCTTGTTCCCTCCTGCCCATGGTTAGACTTTTCTCCAGGCCTGCCCACATTCTCTGCCTGTGGTCCCTGCCTGGCCCCAACCTCTTCCCAATCCTGTGCCACATGCTCAGTGGCCTTGGGAGAGGTGGAAGGGGATCACCCTTCCTTCCATGTACCCAGTGCTCCCCCTTGATTTTTAATTACCAGGGTTGTGGGAGCTATTGATCTCATTGGTTATTTGCTTTTAGGCCTTTTCTTGATGGCAACTTCTCCCTGCCTTCATGACTTCTGGGCCTCGCCCTCCTGCTAGGCATGCACATGTGAGATGTGTGTGTGTGATGGATGTATCTTCTTTGGGTGAGACTGCCCAACACAGCCATGCCTGCCTCTGACCAGCCCTCTTGCCGCCTCAGGACTGTGAGCTACAGGCAGGTTGAGAGTACGACCCAGTAGCTTTGTGCTGCCAGGCAGCAGCTGGTGTGTGTGTGAACCCTTCTCTCCTTTCATCCTCTGATAATTACCTTCATCCTGCCATCCAGGCATAGATGTCACCTGCGCTCTGGGAATAAATGGGCCCCATGGCCTGGGGCAGCAGATTGGGGGATGTGCTACCTGCCCAGTGGACTCTATCCCACAGCTCCCCACAGACCTGACCTAACTTATGTAGGGCTGGTTCCTTTTCCAGGCTGCTCTGAGGGAGGCAGAGTTTGAAGCCTTGTGTGGGGTTCAGTGAGCTGGGAGAGTGGTGAACCTTAAAATGTTTAAGGATGAGGGGAAAGAGCTTTCAGGAAACTTTGATCTCACTGGACTGCAGAACTGGGCAAGAATGGGAATCCCAATAGGAAAGAGCAGGTAGGTTTCACAGCTGTTTCAGCCAGGACTCAGGCCCTTAGGGGATGCTTTCATTCCTCTGCATACCTAAGAAAGTTTTCTGTTGTTCTTCTCCCACCACTTTTTATTTTTTGTTACCTCCCCTGTTCCATTTTCTCTCTAGAGAAGCCTGCTATTTATATTAGCTAAGGCCAAACCATCAGCAAAAAGCTGGCTATAGGCAAATCTGGTCCAAAAACTTGGGGTGGCAGTGCTTGAGGATTTGCTGTGTTCAGCAAGCCCTTGGTACTCAGTGCCTTTGCTTTTCTTCCCCTAACATGGGACCACTTTGCCCATCCATGTCAGCTGCATGCCTTATTTTCACTGTTGGGGTGTGGTCCACAGTGTCTCTGAGCTGGCACTTCCCCACATCTCCATTAACTCAGTCTTGTTGCCCTTCATCTCCAGAATGAGACTTGGGGACATGGCTAGGAGACTAGAGTTAGGGACAGTGCGCCAGAGGTTAATGTTCTTTATTTGAAAGCCAAAGACCCAGTTTGAATTCTGCTGCTGTGTTCCTAGGTTCTAGGGAATTTAATTTTCTATGTTTGTCTATTTTTAAGCTTTTCCCTGGGTACTGGGCATGTGCCTGTCTGAGCCCCAGGCCTGTCTGTCCATACCCCTACTGTATGGACCCTACTCTCCCTGGGTACCTCTTGAGATGGTCTTAAGACAGTGCCCTCTTGGTTCCTAGGATGAGGGCCCATTACTGTCTCTGCCAAGAAATACGGGTTTAAATGGCTAAAGATGGCAGAGGGTCAGAACTTGACAGGTTATCTTCTCCTTGTTTTTTTGTTCTGTTTTAGAAATGAAATGGGGGTTTAAATGGTCATTTAAACTGCACTCTGAAGAACTGGGACAGTTTTTTTTTTCCCCTAATAAAGGCTTACCTTTCTCCCCCTATTGTTGGTCTTTTTATTAGGACCCTGAAAAGCATGAGGTTTGAGAAAGGGCTGGAGGATGAGACAGAGAAAAAGGCTTGAGGAGCTTTGATCCTGGGGTGTGAGGGTCTCAAGACCTAAATCTAGAACAGAAATTTCTTGCCATTTGCCTCTATAATCTCCCTGTGCTCTGAGGCCTGGGAGTAACAGGGCTTGGGTGAAGCCTCCCATCCTGACTTTCTCATGGTACAGCTGCCTTCTCTGTTCCTGTTGTGTGAAAACAGCTGTAGGTTAGCTGTGTTTCTTGTTCAGTCTACTGCCAGTGTCTCCCCATAGCCTGTATTGCATTTTGGGAGGGTCTGTGCAGAAAGTGGGATAAGATGTGTTTTCCTGTTCAGAGCTCTTACAGCTGCATGAGGCCCGATGTGCGTAGCAGAGTCTGGGGCTGAGCTTCTATTTCTGATGATTTCTTTTGCATTCTGGAGCCAGAGCTGAGTTTGGGCCATCTGTCACTAAAAACACTTCTCTTCCTTGCCAGGCCTAGCTCTGCAGTACTTTTGTCCTTCTCCAGCCTCCCTATGCAGTTAGCTTAGCCAAGACCATGGGAAACCAAGTGTGGCTTTCCACCTTACCAGAGCAGACTCCCAGCCCCCAGGATCGATCTTTGAGTCAGTCATTGGGGATCTGAGTTACATAAAGTCACCTGGTGTTTCTGTTGCACTCCCTGGGTCAGGGAGATCACAATTTAGAAGGAAAAGAGCCAGGGATTAGGATGCCATCCCTCATCTTGGCCAGGCTGGATGTTGACTGTAGGTAATTTATTTACTCCTCTGTGCTTCAGTTTGCATTTCTTTGTGAAGTGGAAATTAAAGTCATACTTCTTATGAGGAATTTTCAGATTTGCTGTTTGTGGAAGAAAGGGATGCTAAGAATTCCAGAGAATTATGGTAGGAGTTGGGGGTGGACAGTTGTCCCCAGCCTGGCTGGATGATTGGGCACATGGATTGGGAACAGCATTGAGGTGTAGCCCTTGACAACCCTTCCCTGGCATGAAGGACCCCTTGGATATTCACCTTGGTTGTACCACATACACAGCACTTTAGTTAAGGGTACTTCATTATCAACAATATTGCATGGCCTGGGGGCAGTACAAGTGTTGTTGAGAGCATCCTTATCAAGAAAACTGAAATCCCAGAGAGATTCTGAGAATCTCCATCCTTCACTTCATGTCTTGCCAGCCTTAGGTGCTCTGAACACAGCCTTTCCAGGAGAAGGGGAAGACAACAGTCTTTCAGGACAGACCTTGTGGGGATAGGGGCCTGGGAGGGACCTCAAGAGGCAGCTTTTAGCTAGACACCAGAGGGGAAGCGATCAGCCAGCCTGCTGCTGTTTTTGTTTACTGTGTTTCCAGTTCCTGGCCTGGTGTAGCTACTCACTGGAGGACTGGTTATTTGATGGTTACATAATGCATGGTGCAACTTTTCTTCTCCCAGGGAAGGTGGGGCTGCCACCTCTAGTTTCCACCAGGGGGAGCTGCCTCTGGCAGCTGGTGTTGCCCAACTCTCCAAACACCCTGGTGTACTCTGCCTTTCCTTTTTTCTCTTCCTGAGCAAGTGTGCAAAACTGAACTCTTGTGGACAAGGTCAGACAAGTGCTTGGTAGAGGGAATATCTGCTAGGCTCTGGATGTGAATTTCACGTGTTTTGAAGAGTTCTGCCTTTCTGTCCCATTCCAAGTCAGTTCCTATAACCCTTAAGGCCAGAGACTTTAGTCAACTGTGGAAAGAATGGAGACTCTACAATTAAATTCTTGGAAGTGTTTTCTATGACTACATCTCTCTGGCAAGGAACTGGGAGTTTGTCAGGAGGGTTGGCTCATAGCTAGTCCTCCAGCTGGCCTGAAGTGGCCCCTCTTCATCACCTACTAGGCCTCAGCAGCTACGATTCCCTCACTGGCAAAAGACCAAGGGTTTACCAAGCAACCTGTATCTGGACCAGTCTGCCTAGTTCTTGGTATGACAGCTGCTTCCCATTGCCACTGTCCTCCATGGTAGCAGTCAATGCCAGGTCCTGGCAGATGGAGGTAGCACAGCTTTAACTTCTTCATTTTCAGGGCTCTGAGACATGCCACCTGCATCCAAAGGCCCAGCCCAATTTAGTCATGTGCCTAAATTAGGCAGGCACAGGCTGTGAGCCTGGGAGAACCAGGGTGGCAAGGAATGAGACAGCTGTCTCCTTGCAGGAAGCTGGGTTTTGAGCATCCCAGGGCCCTGCAGAGACATGTCTGCATTCTAAGGAAGTGGCCCAGCTGTGTGCATGATGAGCCTGCTTGACTCAGGACAGGCTTGCCCCAGCCCTTCCCCATCCCTCAGCCTCATCAGAGCTGCCCACCAGGCCCTCTGCTCTGTACCATGTTAGCTGGACTCGTGTAGACAACATGCCTTTGTGGAAGACTGTAATCCAAGTTATCTAGATTCTGGCTACCTTTAGGGAAAGGCTCTTGAAAAAAGCCTGCAACAAAACTGCCCCTACTTGATGGTACAGTCCAAGCTGTCCACAGATTCTGGCAGATCACCTCTTCTCTTCCCAGCTACCATGTCACCCCCAAACCCTCACCAAACCACTGAGAATGAGGGGTCTTGCTACGCTATACTTCTAGCTAGGACTTTGTGGGGACTAGCTGGAGTAAGTAGGAAGCATCCTATTTCCTCTCTTACAAGTCTGGGTTTTCCTCTTAAGCTGACTAAAAGGAGAGCAGACACATGGAGAGGAAAGGTTAAGGCTGAAAAACTGCTGTGGGGTCCAAGATACTTTCAGCTATTTAGGCTTAAGCAGTATGGGAAGAGGTCCAGAGCCAGAAGGACAATGGAGAGGAAGAATGGTGAACTCAGGTATTTCCCAAAGCTATGCTCTGGCAACTGATGAGAAGGGACTTCGGATCCCTGTTGCTATGGTTTCCTGAAATAAGCTCATCTCCTGGGAGGACATCCCCCTCTTTCTCCTGTTTCTGATGGTTTGCTACAGGGTAGGATAAGGCAGGGCTGGGGATGCATCCTGGGAGCCCTAGCCTGCTGTATGAGGGAGAATGGCCTCATTTACAGCCAACCAGGAGATGCTTCCAGATAAGGGTTAGCAAGAACTAGTGGAACGAAAGGACCCCGACAGTTCCAATATGACTGCAGGGAGGTTTCCTGTTTTCTGGTTATGGGCTCCTCTCACCCTACTCAGCTTGTTCCTACAGCCAGTGGAGCTGATGCTCATGGGGGTAGGCTTGGTCCCAGCTCACAAGGGAAGGAGACATGGCTTTCTGTTGTGATTTCTGCCCAGCCCACATAACTGGAGCTGGGAAGACTTTATTTGTTTCAGGGGAAAGTAAGAACAGGAATGAGACAAGGTGTAAAAGTGAAAGGGAGGGGCAACACTGATAGGACAGGAAGAACAATGTCTAGGACAACACAGCAGCCAAACAAAGCTTAGGGGAGGAGTGGTCCATCACCACAGGGTCCAAGGGCCAAGCACACCCAGGTCTCCTCTCTTTTGTTAGACGAAGAAAAAGGGAAACTTGGGACCCCAGAGCACCAAGGTGGGGCAAGAGGGTCCTACCAATGGGCTTGCAGCTAGCACCATGGGCAGCCTGCTGGCCTGGAGATGCTAGCCAAGAGGCTGTTGTACCTGGCATAGCAATTCCTTACCTCCTGCTCTACCTGTATCCCTTCAGAGATCATCATATGCCCTCCATACTGTTAGTATGTGGGCTAGTATGTGGGCCTGGCCCACACACTCTGGCCCTCTGAGGCCAGGGACACCATGTGGAAGGTGGGCCTGTGAGGTGCTACAGCTAATCCAGAATATGTTCTAGGCAGGAAAACCAGGCTTACATACCCACAGGCCTTGGGGCACTGGACCAGTCACAATTAGATTGATTCCCAGAACTGGGAAGTCAAGTCCATGCTGGAAGGGATAGGGGTATGGCTAGAAATCAGACATTGTCAACTTCTTGGCTCTGTGCCTCTCAATATCCTGGCCCTAGGCTTTATCATGTGGGGCCAGAGCACTGCTGCTTGCACACAGCTACATGCCCTCCAAGGATGGGGTGGCTGGCATGACAAGTGAGGGGAGAATGAGAATGTGGTGAGGCTTCAGAGGGAGAGGACCTGCAAGTAGGTAGGTAGAGAGAAAGGCTCTCTGAAGCCAGCTTCCCTGTGTTCTGACCCAGCACAAGGAGCCAGACTTTGGGGAGACTCTGTAGTCACCCCCCTCCCCACCCTGGCCCACTTTCAAGCAGCTTTCTCTACCTTACCCTGACCCCTCCTCAGCCAGGATCTCCCTCACCTCCCAGTGGGTAGGCAGAGTAGCTGGAAGGCAGGCCTGAGTCAGGGGAGAGCTGGGGTCACATTAGCCAGGTCCCTGTCCCTCACAGGAAGTGAGATGCGGAGATACCATGGATGGTGACTAAGGCCCCAAAGTCCCTGCCTCTTCCTCCTCAGAGACTTCACAGCCAGGCCAGCCCCAGGGAGCCACGCCTGTGTAAACAGCCTGGAGGGGAGGAGGGGTTGCTACATATGAAAAACAGTTCCAAATAAATTAAAAAGCACCACTGTGTCCTGTGCTGGGGAGACCTAAGTCTCAGCTCAGGACGGGTGAGCACTAGGGGATTACCGCTGGGGACCAACTCCCTCCACGGACAGCAAGTCACTAGGCTCCATTCTGCTTCCTTCTCCCCAAGGGCTTGGAGGAAGGAACATGTAGGTCAGAAGCGCCCTAGGGCTTCTGTGTCTACCTGACTCCAGCTCCTAGCCTGTCACATCTCCTCCCCCCATACCCTGTCATCTCCCTAAGTCCTAGGGGTGGCTTGGGCCATTCCCCTGTGATGAGCAGTCATATCCAGACCCAGAAAGAGGCTTGTTCCAGCCTCATGGCTCGCAATGTGAACCATCTCTCCTTGAGTGTAGGAACATGAACCTCCATCCCCACTTCCTGAAAGCTGTGATGATATAGCATATCAAGGTCACATGCCCCTCTCATTGGTCTGGTCAGAGGTGTAGCCTAGAGCAGGTTAGGCACCTCACAGAGCTCATTGAGCCTATGAGGAACCAGGTGAGCCAAGGAACCGGTCAACTGGTCTCCCAGGTGCCTCTGGCTGGGCCCAGTGCTGATTTGATGAGCTGCTAGCCTCTGTGCTTTCCCTGCAGAGCATCCCTTCAGCAAAGGCATCTCTGCTCCTCCATCCCTTCCTCCTCTGCTTCCTGGCCAGCAGAGAGCTGCACCATGTTTGTTCCACTGCACCCTCTCTGATGCCTAGCAACCGCACAGGGTCTCTGGTTTGTCTGCAGGGGAGGATGAACACAGGGAGCTGTCCTGTTCAGGAGAGTCTCAGCTGCCAGAACTCTCCCCTGGCCTTGTCCAACCCTGGAAACTCAGAACTCTCCTACTCCCCACTCAAAGGGGAGGAGAGCACTCCTCCTTTGCACAAGCTCTCTACTAGAAGCTGAGAACTGGCACTCTTTGCCTATACTGGATTTTTTAATTTCTTGAACTGATTGCTGACCTTTAAGAATTAGATTTCACATACGCATTCAGAATTCTGGCCTCCTAAAAAACCGCAGATAATCTGTTCCCATTGGACCCGCACTGTGGGCACAAAAGAATGTTTAGCTGGGCACTGTCCCCATCCAGCCCTGCTGTTTGTCATCTGCTAACCCTATAGTTCTTTGAGTTTACAACCCTGGTTCTGCTGTTCCCTTATCCAGGGTTCTAGCCCCTCTGCAGCCTTACTGAGCTATTCTTGGCCAACTCACAGCCTCTCAGTAAAAAACACAATAATCACCTCACCCAGCTGCTCTTCCATATAACCTGAATCTTCCAACTTCCTGACGAGTACCATCTGTGCTGTCAGAGCAGCCTGATTCGAAACTCCCTCTCACATCCCTTTCTCACCTACATTTTCCAGTTCTTGGGTCTGTCCCTCCTCAGTAGCTACACTGCCCCACCTTGCTCCACACCTCCTTGTCCTTTGGAGCCCAGAACCTCAGCCCTGCCAGCCTCTCTTCACATCTTTTCACTTCCCTGCTGGGGAATCTCGTGCCTGATGGGCACGATTTGGACCACTCCTGCTACTTCAGTTCTTCCCTGCCTGGGCCCTGAGGAACTGCCAAATGTGGCAGGCCATTCATCACTGTCACCCTGAGTCTAGATGGGCTGTGAGTGTAGGGGAGGTGGGCTTGTGACACAGCGACTTGGTCTGGTCTTGATTTCCCCAGCAAGGGCTAAGGTGTTAGATGGGGGTCAGCAGAGCCCATTTCAGGCACTGCTAAGGGAATCACCCAGGTCTGAAGGTCCTACCCTGTCACTTGGTGCCCAGCCATAGCTTCCAGGTCTGCTTAGTCCCCACACAGATGTCCCTGGTGCAACTCTGGGCTTTCCATAAAAACCAGATGCTCTGCAAGGAGCCCCTGGGCTGCAGCAGTGGCAAGGGTGGGACTGAGCACACAGGCCAGTTAGGGGCCAGGATATCTTTCCCTGTAGTCCTCCTGGCTCTCCTACTGCCCAGTCCCTCGTCCATACAGCACTGCCACAAGGGCCTGAGGGCTCTCTTGGGCCATGGGCTCCTGCTTCTGGACAGATGTGGGTTTTCCCAAATTTCTGCTTTATGGGTCACACAGGACAATCCCTGCCCTGTTTCCCTTTCCCTGGGTCAAGATTCTGTTGGGACAGACCCAGCTGCGGAAACACCCCCTTCCTCCCTCCCACCCTCCCAGCTTATGGGACTGGGAAACTCCCATCATAGGATGCATCCAAATCCCACAGGGCCACTAGGGATAGGGGCATCAGCAGAGTCAGCAAGCCCTCCTCCCCAGCCCCATTGCTCTCAGGTCACTAAGAACTGCCTCTAGCCACCACCACATCCATTTATCCCTTCCCCCAAATACCTTAAACTTCAGTTGTAGAGCTAAAAACTCCAAATAAAATACTAACTGCCTCTTGGCCCAAAGTTAGGGGCTCAGCTCCATTGGGAGGGGAGCAGCTTGGGGGCTGAGCTGCAACACACCCATCCTTCAGCCCCTCTCCCTGCCCCATCACTGGTCGCTGTCTTCCAGGAGCAGGGTGGGGCTTGGGGCATTGGCATCCGCCTCACACCCGGATCTGGTACCCATTGAGGTCTGGCATGGCTTTGGGCTCAGAAGGCTTTTTCTCACCCGATGGCCTGCAGGGAGGAAGAGCAGAGAAGGGGAGTGAGTGGTCATTTGGGAGACCAAGGAGCAAGGTAGATACCCCTCCTCGCTTCCCCCTTCATTCTCCAGAGCCCTCTAAGGCAGCTGCAGAGACCTTGGGGGCAGTGTGTTTTTGAAAATCCCAGCCAGTCTGTGCTTCCAAATGGGATTCCTGCTCTCTCCTACAGCCTCTTGCTCTCTGCTTGAGGTTAGCTAATCTGGAAGGAGACTGTGGGTAATAGCTTCAAGTAAAAATCTCCGTGAGGGGAATCTGTTCCCTATAAAAGCCTCCAAGATCAAAGTCAATGGTGATGGGTATTTTGGTGCCAGAGGTCTGCTCGACACCCCTCAGTTCATGTCAGAGGTGACCTCTGAATGACAATTATATTTAAAGCAAGAGTCACAACGATACACAGGGAGGGAATCAGAGTAGGAGGCATGGTATTTTTAATGTCAATTTTTGCCATCTCGACACAGATAAAACCCACAGACTCTTAGGGCAAAAGCTGTGGTCAAAGCCACCTACCCTGGCTACACAGAGCCAAAGGTCATGTTCAAACTCTGCCCCAAGGAACTAGCAGAGAGCTGTGGCCCCTGAGAGCACCACCCGTCCACCTTTCCTCTCACAGCCCACTCTACTGCCTGCCTCAGACCTTCTGTCTGGACCCGGACTGGCAAAGGGTAACCAGAGACCAGTGGAGGGGAGCTTTCTTTGGATAAATGACTGAAGTAAACACACAAACACATGCCCCTCCATCCCAAGTTACTTCCCTTGGGTGAGGAGCAAAAAAAGAAAAGGATGGGAGAGAGGGGTGAAGAAAGAGGGAGCCAGAAGAAGAGAGGGAAGGAGAAAAACCCTGTTTTTGAGCCTCCCAGGTGCAATCTCATCTCTCACCGTCTCTCGCTGCGGCTGTTCCTGCGGTGAGGGCTGGACTGGGCTCGCTGTGGTGAGGAGATGTCCTTCTTCCGGTCCTTGGTAGGAGAGGGAGGACCCATTCCTTTGCCAATCTACGTGGAAGGAAGAAACAAAAGCATAATACTCCTGGGCTTCCCGAGAGCTCTCCCTGTCCACCTGTGAGCCAGGTCCAGGGAGATTGCTCTGGGCAGAGTAGAGCCCAGGAAGCCTCAAGTGACCTCTACCCTTGTCTCTGGGTTTTCCCAGTCTCCTTCCCAGGCACGAAAGTGTCCAGGGCAGCAACTCTTCAGCAGGGCTGTCCCCTCTCTGCAGGCCCTAAGGCAGTGGGGGAAGTACTGGACTGCGATAAGACTGGAAAACAACTTCAAGAAAAGGCCTATTACCCAGGCCTGTTAAATGCACTAGATGGGGTTGCCGCCCATAGCTGAGCTCGGGGTTAGGACCCTACCAACCCCAGGGTCGACTGGTTATCTTGAGCCAACTTGAAGTCAGACTAATAGCTCTATCTCTGATTAAGAAAAAAATCGAGAAAACAAATGAATCATCCTTTGTGTGGCATGGTCACCTTTGCCTTGAGTTTTCCAAACATGGGGTGCAGTGTGGGCAGCAGATGGGAAGTAACACAGTCCTTAGTTCTGAAGAGGTTGGGAGTCACAGCACTTTACAGGTGACATGTTCCACCTCTATGTCCAACACGCCACGTTGAAGATATAAAACTACTGCCACCAGCAAGAGCCAAAGAACAGAATAATCTCCCGGCAGGAGGGGGGTTCGGGAGCAGAAGAGTAGCCCCAATCTCTGAGGGTCTTGGGCAGCCATGTCTGCCCTTGGGGAAGGTACTACTTTCAGCCTATTGAAGTCTTGGCCTCTGCCAGGACCTGCAGGCTCCTGGGACAAGCTTGGAGCCTCCTTGGGGAGGCGGAGCTCTAGCCCTATCTGCCTTTCACTGCCTGTGGCAAGTCTCTGGGCTCCTTACCCTGTAAACCAGACACCTGCTGAGAAAAAGGGACAGGAAACTGCCAAAGTCAGTTCTGCAGGTGCCATGCTGCCTGGAGATCAGTCACAGTGCAGCAGCACAGAGCACACTCTCCTCCAGAGAGAGACCAAAAGAACGATCTGGGGGCTTAGTCCTCAGCAGCTCAGTCCAACTCTTGTGGGTTTAACAGATTCCCCAATTCCTAACTTCTGTCTTCTCCATGGTCTGACTTTCCTCTTTTTTCTGACCCCTTCCTGGTCCTTCCTTTCCTGCAGGCAGGGGGTAGGGGGTGGGGCGGCTCCAGTCAGGATGCACAGGAGTGGTGGAGGCTGCTCACCACCCTACCCTGCCGTTCTTCCAGACAGGTCAGGATCTTCCACCAGCTCATCCTGACTCCAAAGCCCCTGTCCTTCTCCACGTGGCCAAGCCCCACCACTAAGCAAAACCAGTTCGACAGCTTTCTTCCTCCTTCCGGAGCTGTCCTTGGTGGATCTGAGGGGAGGACGGCAAGAATAGGACCTTGCTCGAAGCCCCGCCCTGACCTAAGTAGACACCCCTTCCCCCGCTGGGAGGGGCAGGAGGGTAAGGGCATGGTGGTGGGGGAACCCCAAGAGGAAGCGCCCCGCCCCCTTGTCCTTGCCGGCCACTGCGGAACCTGACCTTGAGCCGCATGTCGCGGGCGTGGCGCTCCAGCTCCTTGCGGAAGTCATCGCGGCCCAGCCTCTCCACGTCCAGCACCGAGTGCTTCCACTCGATCTGCTCCACGCTGTGTGGGTCGTGGGACACGCACTGGCCCAGCTTCACCTTCTTCAGCACGTGCCAGCAGCGGCCATAGGCGGCCTCGTAGTCCAGCACGAGTTCGCTGAGCGTACGGAAGGCCGGCGGCTTGTACATCAGGTCCTCCCTCCGGCTCATGCCTAGGGCCCCATAGCGACCCCCGAAGTTCACCCCCAGCACAATGTGACGGAAATAGTTCCCTGAGAAGTAGGTCTTGAAGCTGATGGGGAAGCGCTCCAGGTTGGGCATGCTGTTGGTGAGGTAACTGGCCAGTCATGGAGCTAAGGAAAGGCCCAGGAGAGGCACTGGACCAGGACTGGGACAACCCCACCCACCGTGCCTGCCTGTGCCCAAGGCATCCCTAGACGACCAGCTTCTGAATGCTGACACCCTGGTGTACTCATCTCCAAATCCCTGTGGTCCAGCATCAAGTCTGGTATACAGTAGGTGCTCAATAAAGTAGGCCTTGCAGGAACAAGGCTTCTGTGACTAGTGGCTAAACGTCAGGCAGCGCTTCCTGGGTAACAGCTAACAAGTGTCCCTTATCCAAACACCAAGGCTTTTCCCTGTGGCTGGAGCAGGGATCAGAGAGGCCAGCTGCCATCTCCCACCCTGTCAGTCACTCGAACTTCTCAACTGTACATCCTCTGGGAGCACATTTTTTTTCTCTTTCATGCATAGATTTCCTCCCAGATGCAGGCAATTCTGTCCCCCCCCAACCTCTACACATGCTGCCCATTCCCCTTAAATAGACTCAAGCTCAGTGCCACAGTCTGGAGGCCTGTGTGGCCAGGTCCACGCTTTGGGAACAAACAGCACAGTGTCCCCTCACCCAGATGGGCTGCTCCTGTTTTCTTTGTCTACAAACCACCAGGTGACCCCTGAAGGGCCTGGGGACCACAAGATCCTGGCTAGAGCAGGCTCAGTGTGCACTCTGGGGTAGGGGAGCAGCCTCTCCCCCACAATGAGGGTGGAGCCTCTGCTTTGGTGTGAGGCCCCTGAAGGAAAAGTGGATGAGGGGTGTTGAAGGCGGGGCTGGCAGTGGCCTGAAGGTTTTGAGTGATCCTGTGATTGAACTAGCAAAGTTCAATGAACGAGGCCACACTGGTAATTTTTGAGAATGGCTCTGCCAGTTACAAACAACTGCCACAGTGCTGGGACTTCCAAGAAAAGGGTATCTGCAACTTCTTTTGTGTACACCTGAGGCAGGATGTCAAGGGGCGAATGACCCCGTGTATCTCAACCCCTTAGAGAAGCATGCTTCTCCCCTTCAACCTCACCTTCTCTTCCAGGACCTGTCCTAGAGAGGACTCCCTGTTCTATTAGGTCCCTTCTCCTCCCCTCCTGGCCAGAGGACTCTAGTCTGTGTTCCTCTGAGCACTGTCTGCCCGGGTGTGACCCACACATGTTGAAAGCTGCAAGGACCTGGGGAGGTAGATGAAATACTGCTGGTCTTGAGTTGGGAGGCTGACTAATGGGCCCACAGGAATTCATTACATTGTTCTGTTTGTATAAAAAGCTTAAACATTTTATAATGACTAAAAATATTGGGGGCCCTGCAGAGGGCAGCCTCTTCTGTGGGGGGGAGGGCGTCTGTGTCCCCATGGCAACCTGATGACCCAGCTACTGGCCCCATCTCTGCCCTTGGTGTGCTGGCATTTTTGTTGTTGTTGTTGTTAGTTAGTTCTTCCAAGGCATCTCCACAAATTAGCATATCCTGATATGCCAACCCTGAGCCTGAGCCTGGCTGGTTCTCCATACTATTTGGTTCTTAGTAATGGCACAACAGCCCATGTGAGACACTGTGCCCCAATTTGGGTTCAGAGAACAGGGCCACTTGTCCACAGGACTCAAAATAGAGCTGCCCAGCCAAACTGGGAAGGTAGCAAATAAGGCACAGGGACTGAGCCCCTCAGGCCTCTCCACCTTGGGACGGCTCCTTCACCTAGAGGCTTAATGTACAACTGGACTGCATGGGGGGACCCTGGATCTCCTTCAGCCCTCCCCTTCCAGAGCAGGAAGTGGAGGCCTGGGGAGGCTGAGGCGACAAGCAGGTCCCTTCTGGGGCCAGTGGAAGGATACATTCCCAGGATCACGGCTTCTAGGCATTTGATTGGCAGAGCCTCTTTGGTCATTTCCTTCGCCAGGTCCATCAGCCTGTGGGAAACCAAGGCTGAGCTCTGAAGCCAGTGCCTCCTGTCCCTTCCCCGTCCGGGAAGGTCAGGAGAAGGCAACATGGACCAAAAATGTAAGGACAGAGCCCCCCCACTCCCAGGCTGCCCTCAGCCCAGGCCCAGAGGCTCCCTCCCTTCCCCCAGGTCTAGAGCCTGAGCGGGTGGGAGACAGCCACTGGCAGTCAGGAAAGAGGCCCACTCTCTCTTCCTTCCTTCCTTTCACTTCCTCCTCCCACTCCTGGCTCCTGCTCAAAGACTTTTGGGGGAGGGGAGCATGAATGGAGGCTGGACCTTGAAAGCCATTGTGCTGGGGCCTTCTGCATGGCAGTAGGGTTGGGGGAAGGTAGGCACTTTGGCATTGATCTCTTCCCTTCCAGAAGGATATCCCTGCCCCAACCATGACTTCTGGAAGAGCTTGTTAATTGATGGCAAGTGCTCCCTGGATATGTGATCTCAGGCAGACAGCTGTCTAGTGCCTCCCTTCCTGCTCCTTAACTTGGAATTCAGGCAATTTCCAGAAGTCTGTCCTCCAGGCCTGGCTATTCCCTCCTCAATGAACACTGCCCCCAGGCCAGGGGACTCCATCCGGCCTCTGGCTTTGCACAGGACTCTTGCCTCCCACAGGAGACTAGAGTGGGCCTCCAGCATGACACAGCTTCAGGACAGGAGCAAAGTTTGGGCATGGAGGTTGGGTTCTAGCCCAGGGGCTTTGAGACCAGCATTTAAGTAAACCATTTTAAACACTTCTCACAAGAAAGCAAACAGAGAATGTGTGAAGGAAGATGTAAAATTCACAGTAATTAAAACAAACAAACAAACAAACAAACAAAAATCAACAAGGGTTTTAAGCCTGTGGGCATCTTTGGGCAGAGTGCCCAGACTCAGCTCTGGCATCTCCTTACATCATGGTAGAAACTGGCTGTCCAGCTCAGCTGGATTTCCCTCCTTATGACATCCTTAGGGCCCCAGGGTATTGCCTGATTCCTGGGGCTTTCCTCAGGACAGTCCCTGCCTGCCCCCTAAGCTGCCACTCAGAGGCAAACCACAGAGACTCCCAGAGGCTTCAACCCAGCCTGGGGGCACTATGAGCCTGTGGCAGTAGCACAGGCCTCCATACTTACCCTGTCAGAGGTCTGCTCTTCTTAATTTCAAAGAACTGTGTCCCTGTGTGATTGTACCTGCAGGTACTGGTTAAGGACTTCCTGGTTTAGCCTGGCCATCATCCAGACACCGGGGAACAGCACTCCCAGGGGTTCAGGCTGGGTAAAGACCCCACAGTGTCTGCTGAAAGGCACCTTGGGTGATGCTTCAGAAGAGGGAGAAGAGGGCACTGCATGGGGGCTTCTCCTTCCCCACATCCTCTTTGGCTTTTACCCTTGTCCTCCCTTGGCCTCCCTTCCTAGGACAGAAGACTGTGAGCAGGCAGCCAGCCCAACAGGGCTGGGAAAGCCACTGCAGCTGGGGACAGTGCCCTGCAGTGTTGGGTTTTCCAGTAGTTGAGAAGCAAAGGGAACTGAGAGAAGGCTGGAGGGGGTGGAGGTGTAGCTCCAGCCAACCACTTCCTCCTGGCACTCTGTTTTCCCCACTAGCAGAGAAGGATGGACCGATTACCGGTCATCAGCCTGGCCTTTCCCTGCTCAGGACCCACACATAATTCTCCCACCTCAGACATCATCTGAAGTCAGGAGGGCTGGGATACAGGACCCAAGACACACAGCTCTGGGGCAGGGGGCTGGGCTGAAGGACCCTAAGCAGGGACACAGGAATGTGTACTCAGGGAACCCAGCTCTTTGCAGGGCAGGGAACACCTTCTGCCAGGGAAGAAAAAGGGAAAGATTCAGGAGAAAATTCCAAGATGTGTAAGCTACCTTCAGGAGCATAAAATCCTTTTCCTCCACCATTCCCCCATCTTTAAAGTCAGTTTTTCAATAGCCCCAAGGTAGCTTCCTCACTCCCTCTGTTAGGTGCTTAGGCTGGATAAACGGCAGTGGGCCAGCTCTCCTCCTCCAGCAAGTCAGTTTTGCATACACACACACACAGAGGCAGCAGCAGGAAGCTGGTGACAGAGATACTGGAGTCAGTCCAGCACTCATCAGATAAAATCCTCTCAGCTCCAAGGAGCACAGAGATGACCTGGGAATGGCACCTCTGGAGTTGGGGAGGAAGGTGGCTCTGCTTATTTCTCTCCAGCCTTGACTAAAACAAGCCCCACTAAGTTTTGGGACCATCATACCACCCAATGGTGGCCAGGGCTCTGGACCAGAGAGGATACTGCAGCTCCCTGATGTAGCGCTGCACGGCTTCCAGGCGCTCAGGGATGGATGTAGTCGGTTGGAAAGTAGGCACACTTGGTATGGGAATCTGGGAACAGAGAAAGAGCTTTGGTCACATGAAAAGGCTTACTTACTAGCCCACCAGACACCAGCCTGTGTAGGTTTACCCCCAAGTCACATATTGGGGAGGGCAGCCTCTCTTCTCTCCTCTTCTGGCAACGTCTTCTTCCTAAGCTTTTACCAGGGCCCCCTTCTAGCCATTTCTCCACTCCAGGCACCTGACTACGTTCTACTGTGGAGCTTTTGTTGATGCTCCAACTTCATGCTTCTTTAATCATTTTAGAAAAACGTAAGTTGATCCACAAACTCTTTTGAATTCTAAATAGTCGTAAGATTCAATTCTCAGCATTGGGGTTTAGTTCATTTGGGTTTGGGGTTTGCTCTGTGCTATGGTTTGGATGTAGTTTGGCCTGCAAAGGTGTTGGAGGCTTGGTCCTCAGTGTTTGATATTAAGAAGTGAGTCCTAGTGGGAGGTCACTAGGGTCCTGGGGATGTGCCCTTGGGAGAGATTAAGGTAGTTCTCAGGGTTGTCATAAATGGAGCAAGTTTGGCCCCTCCCTCTTGCTTTGGCATCTTGTTTGGGGAAGTGACCTTTCCCTCTCTGGCCTGTGCTCCTACCATGCTGCCCCCCATGCTGCCAATAGGTACTTAGCAAAGGTTGAACCAATGGTGTGCAGTGGCTCATCTTAGACTTCAGCCTCCAAAGCTGTGAGCTAAAGAAACTTCTTTCCACAGAAGTCTCTTGCCTCAGGTATGTTATTATAGTAATGAAAATCAGATTAACATACTCTGGTTCAGGTACTAGACTAAAACTATGGTTTTTCTGTTGTTCCATCCTCCCAGGGTGGTACCCTGGGCTGGGGGCGCTGTCCTGGATAAGTGAACACATCCTCAGGAGGGGTAACACCCAACCCAGTAGCATGGGCATAGTTGCCAGGCCTTCCAAAGTGCCATCCTGAACTCTCAAGGAGTATGCCAATGACAGCAGGTCAAGGGGACATATTTTGGGGCTGATCTTGCCGTGGCTGTACATGCTGGGGCCTGGTTGCTTTGGAGGTGGCCTTGGGGTCTCTTTGAACACCTCCCTTTGCCACTAGCTCCACATCCAAGTAGTACAGGTTACTGGGTAATGAGACCTCCTCACCTAAAGGGACTTCCCAGCACCCGGCCCATAAAGGGAAGAGGGGGGATGAGTCACGAGGTTGTAGCTGCTGGGTTACTGGGAGTCAGGTCAGAAGAGGCAGATCCCATGCTGTCCCCTAGCTGCTAGGTCATCTCTGGGAAAGAGGCCTCTGTGTAGGTGTGGGCTCCCTGCAACAAGTCCAAGAGGCCCAGGGGGCCACGAAATGAATTGGGGAGGGTCTTCTGGGGTTTCCCAATACACTTCCTGGGGGGGGCGGATAAAGGAGAATGGTGGAGGGGGTGAATTCAAGTATGATATATTGTAAGAACTTTTGTAAATGCCATAATGTACCCCCACCCAACACAACAATAAAAAACAAACAAAACCCAAACACACTTCCTTTGTGGGAGAAGCTGACCTGCAGGGGTAAGGGCCCACCCTCTGAGTTCCCCCTTGGCTACCAGCACAGAAAGCTGTGAGGTGGCCTCAGGGTTCCTCACAAGGCGCTCTCATCCTCTCCCTGCCAGACTACCACCTTGCCCTCCAAGGGCACAGAGAGCTCTCCCATACCTGCAAGTGTAGGGGTTCATGCAAAGGGAAGGGTATCAGGAATCCCATGGAAGTTCTGAGTGGAGCTACCCCCCTTCTTGGCAGGCTCTCCAGTGGTGGGGAGGCTGGGCCAAAGGACACAGCCTTTGAAATCACGTGGTTGCTGTGGCCAGACTGACAGGAAGGGAAATGGCACACCAGTTATCACCACATACTCGCGCCTGGGTGCTGCTGATGATAGGAGGACAGGAGCAGTGTCTAACAGATACCTTATTGCTGCACAGGGTGGAGATGCATAAGGGAAGGGTCCCTGGTCCAAAGTCACTGCCTGGCACAAATGTCCCCTCCTCTGGCTACCTGCCCATGGTCCTCTCCTTCCTGTCTGGGCGGTCCCAAGCAGCTGACACCTTGGCCTGGAGAAGCTATTTCCCCTTTCACATCACTCCTCACCTCCAACTGCTGCTACCACTTATAGTAACCAGCAGAAGATAAGCCCTGGGGTGGGGGCTCCCCTCTTCCTCCTGACCACCCTCTGCCAAACGGACTCCAGAACTCTCCCAGGGCCTGGCAGGCCTGGATATGGGAATGGGGAGGTGAGAGAGGTACTACAAGAATTGTTTAGCAGTTTCCTACAAATAGCAAGGCACGTCCATCCAGTCACCTCACCTCAGGTGGCACTCCCTGCGTGGCAGGGTCATCCCCACTGGATAAGTGGGGACCAGCCACCTGGAGGAGTATAAGGCACCCTTCCATGAGAGGCTGGGAACAGGGAGGGAGTTGCAGTCCAAGCTCAATCATTTGCCCAAGTTCACGCAAAACCAGGCCTGAGGGCCATGAGAGCATCATGGGCACCTGCCATCAGACAAAGGACCCAGGAACCAGCTTCTCTGTGAGAAGAAAATCAAAAAAGACCTGGGATTCCCAAGCAGGGATCCTAGAGGCCCATTATGGAGAGCAAGTTGGGAAATGTCCCGCCAGCAACTTGACTCATGTCACCCACTGCAGACTGTTCCACCTTTCCCCTGAATGTCATTACAGGCACAGACTGTTTCACTCACACAGTTAAGAAGGACTCTGTACATTTGCATGACCAGGCCACTTTGAGACTGGCTGCCTGGATTGTCACACAACCCCCACCTCTCAAAGAGGGCCCCTCAAACACTTCCTCATTACTGAGGAGTGGGGTCGAATGGGTTACAGTGATGGTGAGTTACAGTATCAGCTACCCTCCTCTGCTAGGGACCGCTCCATCTCCACTGCCAAGGGTGAGGGTATGCCTAGCTGCAGGAACTGACAGCCATGAGGTCTAGAACCCCCACAATGGATGCATCCCTCAGGCCAGAACAACAAGAAGGCTTGGGAAAGGCAAAGAGCTATGAAATTCTAGCTCCAACTTGAGCGACGCCATATAACTGTGCCTCAGACGTTGCATTTATAAAATGGTGTCATAACAGAACCCACCAAATGGAGTCAATAAGATGTTGTGTGCTGGCAGACACCTCAGAATAGAGCCTGGGACACAGGTTTGATTCCTGTCTACTGTTACTGCTACTGGTACGTGCCAAAGACAGTGGTCAGCACACACTGACCTGGGCAACATGACCCTTTGGGAGATGTCCAAATTCCCAATCTGCAGGCATTACAGCAAGGAGAGAGCTTATCAAGTTGCAAAGTGTTGCATGCTTTGGGGTCCTTCTAGAAACTTGCCCTTTGCCATCCCAGCATTATCCTTGCCGAGACTCTTTCCCCATGTGCTGTGGGTTGGTTTACTGTTGCTGTATGCCCACTCTGTGCATTATTTACATCATTAATTCCTCTCAACATTCCTCTGAAGAGGGCAGTGCCATTGTGCCCATTTGTCAGCTGAGGAAACAGAGGGCAAGGAGGTGGTACACCTTCCTCACTGAAGTAATTATTGGAGAACAAGGATTTGAACTTGGTGGATTCCACTTCAGAGAACTCTCCTTTTACCACACTGGGCAAGGTGGGTGACAGGGAGCCTCTCCCCAGCCCTAGCTGCTGGTTGCCACGTGGGATTACGGATTCTGTTCCCAATCTTCCGATTTTCTGTAAAGATAACAAAACCCTGCATCGTTATGTAAGAAATCTCCCAGTTTTAATTTTTGGCTCATGAGGTCATTTAAAACCTCATTGTGCAGTCCTAACAAAAACCCTTCTTGGGCCCTCCACAGCACGACCTCTGCAGACATGCCTTTGTGCGCCCCAACTGCATGGCCACTTGGGAAAGAGTGGGGATCCAGCCTCTGTGGCTTGCAGACTGGCACCCAATCTTGGCTACCCTTCTTCAAGGCCTCCCTGGATCCTCCATACTTCCCAAACCCTAACAACTCCCTTCTACTTTGGTCCATGGTAGGGAGGGAACTCACACAGACTTGTGCACTTTCTCCATCAGAGATGCTTTTCCAAAGTCTCCCAAACTTCTCACAAAATCCCTTCTACCCTACCCTGTTCCTCTTCATCTCCATTCCTTCCTCCCCAACACACAGCTTCACTTCTTCAGCTATGACTTTGCTATACATGAGGATTGAAAATGATACCATTGACCAGTCACTAGTGGGCACATGTTTTTGAGTCCCCAGGAGTGGTGACAGTTCTATAGAAAGCCATTCCCACCTTCCCAGGGCTCAATTCAAACATCAGCAAGATGGCCGGAGAGCTGTCTGCTCAGTACCAGTCTGCTCACATGGGACAGGTGTGTGGCTCTGATCTTGTAAGCACAGATGCTCTGAACGACATAGCCTTCCCTCCTCACGAAGAAAGGGAGAAAAGGTGATGAACACCATAACCAGTGCTGGCTTAGGGCTATACAGTTTGTCAAATGCTTTAACACGTTTTCTCATTTTGTCGTCCCCACATCCAGTCCCATTTTATAGATGAGAAAACTGTGGCTTAAGTAGATCAGCAGGGCCTGCCTAAAGTCATAAAGACAGAAAGGTGATCCAAAAAATGTCCATATCCTTTGATGTATTACTTTTTCTTCCAGGAATTTATCCCAAGGGGGGAAAAAAAATAAAAGCCAGATCCAAAACTGATGCTTTAGAATGTTAAGCACTTAAGTGTTCATTTTAAGAACAAAACATTGGGAATAAATTTTAAGTTAGTACAGAGAGGCCACTGATGCAGTCATTCAAAACTGATCTACACTTTTTCCCCTCTAGAAATATTAGGCAGTAGCCTCAACCTTCACACCTCTTAATCTCTTTTCCAAGAAGGCATTTTCTCATGGTTCTACCAGTAATCTGATCAACACAAAACAAAATAGGCCACTTGTCCCCATGTCTGTCACACTAACTCCATTCTCCCTATCCTCCCCGCCTCTTCTACCCCCAGAACAGACAGGATTAAGCACTGAGCTCTGACCTCTGTCCAAAGTGCTCTGCACTTTAAGTCTACTTAAAAAAACAGGTGTGTATTTCCATATTGCACTGTACAGCACAGAGTCTCAAACACCCTTTCATTCAGCAAACACACGTAAGTGTCGGTTCTGTGCCAGGCACACCAGAGATCTTGGGAGGACAAAGATGAATGAGACACAGTTGCTGCCTTCCTTGACAACACAATCCAAGGGTTGTTGTTGTGGAGGAGTTCCAGTCAAGGCAGAAAGGTATTTAACTTTTCTCCAAAGTATCTCTTCTAATTTCCCTGAATCTAGGGTCAAACAGAGTGGAGGACCTGGAGCCCAAGACTTGGCTGTAAGTCCCAGCTCTGCCACTTATGGCCTGTGGGACCCTGACATCCTACTTGAGTTGGGAGCTTTCTCATCTGTAAAACTGGGACCAAAGTGCACATCTTTCACAGGCTCTTGGGAGAATTCAGTGAGATAATGCAGGAAAGTATTTCCTCACCATAGGAAGCCCTACATCTCTCAGTCATTCCTTATCTGTTTGCTCATAGAGTTCTCTGCCCTAGCAAGAATTATCAGGCAAACAGGTATCAAGCCACATCAATGTGTTTACTTGTTTATCTGTGCTTCCGCCTAAAAACAGGGGTGCTTCATGGAGACAAGGCCCTGAATCTCCCTTAGAATGACCCCAACAACAGTGGAGATAAAGTTCTAGACAGAAGAAATCAGTCTGTGTTTTAAAAATAAAATGTGCACCTCTAACCCATCCACCAGAGGAACAGTGTGGCTTACTCTCTTAGCTCCAAGGTCGCTGACACCCTAGCTCATCACCCCCTCACCTTGGGCAGGTCTGTGGCCCCGCGGATCCTCTGTGCCACCTTCTCTCCATCAGGATGGATCTTGGCCACGTGCTTCCACATCCTTTCCCAGGTGGCCTCATCCACAGGCAGACCACCCCGGTTGATGAAAAAAGGGATGCCTCCATCTCGCAGATCTTCTTCCCCTTCCTCTTCTGGGTCATCATCTCTCTGGACTGATGCCCCTTCGCTGGTTTCCAAATGCCTGACCCCGGAGTGGGCGGCAGCAGCAGTGGGGGAGGCACTGCTGCCGCCAGTCCCTATCACTTTCTTCCCCACTGGCATCCCTAAATCCTCGATGCGGGTGGGGAATGTACCAGGAGGCGGGAAAAAGAGGTGGCTCACAGGAGGCCTCCCACACACCAGCTGCAGAGATAACACATGGCTAAAACAGTGCAGGGCGCCTTTAAGAAACCAGGGCGTGGCTCCTGTACAATAAAATACTACTCGGTAAGAAAAAAAAAAATCGGTGCTTCAACCTGAAGTCAGGGCCAGGGGGTGGACTGTCCGAGGTCAGCCTGAGAGGCCTACTTTTGTTTGGAAAATGGGATAAAGAGAACACACCCCAACTTGGCAGCCTTCACAAAGCACCCCCATTTGGCAGCAAGAACAATGACGGGTGGCAGTAGAATGGCAGGGAGAAAAGTCGGAGGGAAACTGAGGCCAGACCTGCGATCGCGTTCAGCGAGGGCCAAGGCACGGGTGCTCACGCCAACTGGGCGTCCCGGGTCGCAGTTTTGCAGAGAGCAGATTCCTCTACGAAACCCTGGCACACCCACACCTGCGCGCGCCTCGGCGGGTGGTGGGACCGCGGCGACTCCGGGCCGAGTGAGCTCTGATTCTGGACCCCGCAGCAGGAGGGCGACACTGGGGGGCGATTTCTCCGACGCGACGCGACAATTCCCAGAGCCGAGACTCGCAGCTGGCGGGGCACAGGGAGGGGGTGCGCGCCGACGCGCACATTCCACGCCCGCAGCAGGCTCCCCGCACAAAGTGGGCTTTGTCTTGGGCCCCTGTCCCCTCGCCCCCAGGGAGCGGCAGCGGAGCCCGCAGAGGGGATAGGTGCGGTGGGGAGATGAAGGCTGGAGCGCCAAGGGCCTGCCTGTCCCCAGCGTCTCAGCGGGCAGACGACGGCCACCTGGCGCGGCGAGGCGCCAGTCCAGCCATCGCAGGGCGCAGGTCCCGCGCTGGGGCCCAGGGCTCAGCAGAACCGGCTCGGGCAGCGCACAGGGGCCAGGCTGAGGTCACCGAGCGGCGAGCTCCGGCCGCAGAGTCGCTGACCCTGACTGACTGCAGCATGGGCAGTGGCGCGTCCGGGGCGGGTGAAGGATGCTCCGTGGCTGTCCACTTGGGCTCCGGATGCCCGGCTAGGGGTGGAGGAAGGACCGCGGGGTGGGGAGGGTAAGCCCGCAGCCTCGCGCCGCCACCGCGGGCGGATGTAGCTGCTGGCGAGTGACAAAGCCTGGGCGAGCGCGGGCCGCGCTGACCCCCGGTGAGAAGCCTGCGAACGCGGAGCCCACGGGCAAATCACAGCCCCGCGGTTCTGCAAAGCTGGGGCCACCGCGGCCGCCCCAGGGCCCCGCTGCCACCGGCTGGGTACCCTGCCCGCCCGCCGCCCACCCGGCTCGACTCCGGCCCGCGCCGCGCATGCGCTCCGTCCCCCCCTTAAAGGGCCAGCGCATTCCCGCCTGGTCCTCTGCCTCCCGCATCCATCTCTCTGCCCAAGTTGTCTCGAGGATGCTGCGGGCATTCGCGCTCTTCTCACCTCTCTCTCTCAGGGTGCAGCAAAGTCGGTGCGGAGTTGCCGAGGACGTTTTCAGCGGCCCCCAAAGAGCGCATATTCCAGGGAGATTCCTGGCGGGAAAGGAGTTCCCGCGGTTGAGAATTTCCTAAAGAGGGTAACTCGCAGGGCCCCTCTGCGGGTGGGAGCCAGGGAACCGGCCTGGAAAACTCGGGTTCTAGACCGGCTTCAGCGCGTGTTTTGTTCCGGAATGTTGAACAGTTCACTTCTCTCTGTAAGCCTCAGTTTCCCCCATCTAACAGCTGAGACGATCTCAGTCCTTCCTGGTGCACACGGTCCTTAAGAGAGGATATCTAGACGTTGGAAGTCTTCACCAAAGGGACGTTCGCCCTTAGTCCACCTCCCTGGACTGGGCTTTGGGCACCCAGTTGCTCAGGCTGGAGGGATGCTGCACCCCAGGGTCATGGAACTAAGACATGGGAGTGGGAGGCAATACCTAGGGAATGCCAACGAAGAAAGTATGGCCGATTTGCGGCGCCTGTGGACTTTGGAGACCCAGTGCACCCTCCATTTTGCAGAGCTGTAACTTCAGAACACCACACACAAGCTAAGAACTTCACTGCAAGTCCACAGCTTTAAGACTCTTTTCAGTTTCAATAGCAGTCACCTGGGGAAAATGCAGATTCTGGAGTGCTACAGTTTGGATGTTGACTGTCTCCCAAAGATCTGTATGTTAAGGTCTTGGTCCCCAGGATGATGCTATTGGGAGGTGGTGGAACCTGTGGGAGGTCTTCAGCTCACTGCGGGTGATGAACCCTGGTAGAATCTGGGGCCCAAGATACCTCTCTCACTCCCTCTCTGTCTTTCTTCCTCTCTTTTCCTCCCTCCCTTTCTCTTTCCCTCTCCTTTTTCCTCTCCCTCTCTCTCTTCTTTCTTTCTTTTCTCTCGTCCTGGCTGGTGATGTAAGGGGTTTCCTCCTGTAAACTGTACAACAGTCAGAGGCCCAAAACTATACGCTACCCATCTTGGTCTGTAACCTCTAGAATGGTAGCCAAAATGAACCTTTTCTTTTTATAAGTTAATTGCCATGGGTCTTTTGGTGTATTGACTCAAAACCAACTGACATACCAGGCTTCAGAGGGCAAATTCCTATTCCACAGTGGCTGCATTTCTTGACATGCCAGGTTTCCACACCAGGGGGTGGGTCAGAGAAGGCGTTAGAGAATCCTCAGTCCCTAGTGGATCCCCACCTGTTCCTTAAGGTTGTCCCTGATATCAGAGCATTCTGGATCCTTGAGCTCCAATAGCAGCCCTCTTGCTGCCCCCAGCATCAGAAAGCAAAGTTACTCAGTAATGGAAGGACATTTTAGGACTCCAGGTCCCAAGACTCCAAGAAAGTTAGTTAAGCCTCAATCCTCTTAGGTTTGCCCAAGCAAGAAGGCTCCAAAGGTGTGAATGTCACTAGGTATTAACAGCTGCCACCTTCTTCTTGTATAAATGGGGAAACCAAGTCTCAAGAGAGTAATTTCCCATGTTCACACAGCTAGTAAGTGGCAGAGTTAGAATTTGAACAGCAATCCTCTTACTTCTGACACTTAGTATCTACCCTATACTTGCCTCTTGTGTTAGCCAAGTGCTAGTGGTGGTTTTAAAATATACTTGCAAGTTCTTTACCGTTTCTTTCAAAAGATCAAATCTGATTCTCTTTCCCTTCAGTGGGCTGCACTTACGGACTCATCCCTAGTGAAAACAACGTGGTGGAAGTGATGCTATGTGACCCCCCTAAGGCTGGTCACAGCCTTTCTCTGAAAAGCCACCATGTTGTGAGGAAGCCCAAGTTACATGGAGAGGCCACAGGAGGGCTGACATCTCCCACTAAACCCTTAGCTGAAAGCCAGAATCAGTCCCAGACAGATGGTGAACTCAGGCTTCAGATGTTTCTAGTACCCAGTCTTTGGGTCTTCCAAATGAGGTTCTAGATGTGGAACGGAGACAAGCCAACCTCATTGTGCCCTGTCTGAATTTTTCTCCTATAGAAATTGAGATGATAAGAGATTTTTTTTTTAAGCCGGTAAGTTTTGGAGGTAATTTGTGATGCAGCATAGGTCTAGTAATGTGGGTTTCCTGAAGTGAGATAGATTTGGAGGATTTAAAATAAATAAAATGTAGGTTTGGGGTATCCACTCAAAACTTCAACAGTAAGCACTTATGTAGTACTTTCTGTGTGCCTGGCTCTGTAACAGGCACTGAGGGTACAGAATGAACAAAAGGGAAGTGGTCTTTGCCCTAGTAGTGCTTAGGGTCTGCTAGTGGAGGAGGTGGCTAGACATGATTCCCATAAAATCCTCTGCCAGAGGGTTGGTGCAGAACGCTATGCGTGCATACCCATGGCAACATCCTAGTGAGGTGGAGCTCTGGGGAGAAAAGAAATGAGTCTGGTACAAGGCCAGCATGGTCTAGACTAAAGAATTTTCTGACATGTGTGTATAGAAGTGGGAGGGGATATGCAGCAGGCAAGAGGACCTGCAAATATATTAAAAAATGGTGGAACTAGAAAGATATGTGTCCAACTCAGTCTCAGCCAAAAGCCTGACAAGTGTCCTGCCTGATGTTGCTTAGCTTGTGAATGGGGCCCAGGCTCCTCTCTACTCCCGTGCCATGATTTCGCTATACTTACGCCCTAGGAACACGCCTGTAACAGACACTCTGGCAATTCCTTATTTGCCGAAGGCTTTTATGACCATTATCTCTTCTGCTGCCTTCCTAAAAGCTCTGGAAGAAGGATGAGTGTGATTCCCATTTTACAGATAAACTGGTGATACACGAGAGAAGTTAGGCAAATTCTGTCCCTAGCACAAGAGCTGGCACATCAAAGCTGCTGGATGTCAATGACTTTGATGATGACAAAGATGATAGTAATGATGCCTAGCTCACATCACATATATATCACTGTTGTTATCACACTCTGAAATATATAGATGCATGCATGTATGCATATATCTGCATGTATATGCATATGTATGTATGTACATATTTCACTATTATTATCATCACCCTCTGGGCTAGTGTTCCAGAAATTAATATACAGGGTCTTAGGGCATCAATACATGCATCAGTGTGCTTTGACTTATTTTCTATCTTGTGACATTGAAGCTAGAGTCAAATCTCCAGAGAGGAGAGTCTGGTTGGCTTAGTTTGAATCCTGGGTCCACCTCTTGGCTGGAGGAGGGAGAAACATCTTCTTTAACTGTCCAGCTGTGACTGCAGGTAGTGGAGGCAAGGGGCTGCTCTACAGGTAGTGGAATGCTGTTAGAGAGAGGGGTATGCAGATGCAAAGGCGGCACGCCATGTGTACTGTCCAGTGTGGTACACTTATGTGATCATAAGTCATGTGTGTGTATTTAAGTTTAAATTTAACCTTAAACAAAATTGAGAATCCATTCCTTAGTGATGCTAGCCATATATCACGTATGCAGTAACCACACTTTGCTTGAGACTTCTGTAGTGAACAGCACAGATTACAGAAATTCCTATTGGATAGTGCTACTTTATAATTCTCACTTAGAATTCAACTTTTTCTTTTCTTCTTTTAGGTCATTAATTATGAATATGGAAACAGCAAAAAAGAA